GTTGGCGGAATGAGTCAACCAACTAGAGTGCAAAGAGGCGCATGCACATCATCCGCCAGATGTAGAAACTACAAAAGTTTGACAACACGAAGACTTCTAGTTAGGCATCCAGTGTACCACTGAACACCTAACTGGGGGACAATTGTTGGGGGTGTAAATATGACATACTCCAACCAAATAGTAAATATGGTCCACTAAGCACATATGAACTCAAGCCCATGAAACACCACAAGGCCCAACGAAAGCCCAACAACAAATGACAAGGCTTTACCTATAAATATGCTCCTAGGTCTTCCAAGGAAGAGATCTCTTCTTCTTTTCTCCTCACTTGGACATATCAGTTCTCTTTCTACACACTCTCTACCTTGGTTCTTCCTATTTTCATATCGGAATACTAATGTTGATCGTCGGAGTGTAGATACAAGGGGTCATCCTCCCCTTTTGACAAATCGACAATCACCTTGTTTCTTGGCTGAAACAGCTATACTTTTACGATTACAAAAAACAGAAACTTTATGATTTAGTTGTTCCATATAAAAATCCAGTGCTTTGATATATTTAGTATATATAAAGCTGAAGTGGAATTACGGTTGCATAAAAAATTGGGTAATGTTTATGTTTTATTCAAATTCGTCTGAGATTCTTTTATATTATCCAAATTTATTAAAATGTCATTAATTAATAATTATTCAAATTTTCCGTAATGCATCAAAATATTAGCCATTTTACGTTATCGTTAATAATTTTGTAACTATTTTCTTTGTTAAAATACGAAAATTTTGGAATGTTAACCTACATGTGTCTCTTCCAAGTTAGTATTATATTGTCAAATCAATATTACTAACAAAATTGCTAACTGAAAGTTAACATTTGGCTAATTCTTAGTATTTCGATAGGTTTGGATAATATAAAAGAATCCAAAAAGGATTGGATAAAAAATAGACGTTATCCTAAAAAATTATAAATTAGTCACTATGTAACATTTTTACATTTTGATACTTCAAATTTAATTTTAATGTAAAATTATTGAACAATTATATTTTGGTATCTAAATTTTAGGAGATTTTCGTAGCTACAATTTTTTTTATGAATTAGTTAGCTTTTATATCATGAAAAAGAGCCTCAAAACCTTTGGCAACACACCCCGCCAACTGAGTTACTTTTGAAGTTTTCTATACTTAGCAACTGTAACTTCCTATTAACAACAAGGAAACCTAAACTGGAAACAAGAGAAAAACATTAACAAGCCCAAAAAAAACTCTACAATCTTAGCTGAAAACAACGTGGTAACATCCTCTGGATTTTTGCAATCAGCTCATGATGGCTCTTCTTGGATCCTCCATGTCTCAACAAGCATCGCTCTTGCCACATTGTGCTGACTATAGCACTCCAAATCATCCTGGCAACCTGGTTCTGTAGCATCTTCCCTTTGAGATTGTCTGTAGCCCAATTAAGTTCTTCTTCCTATTTGTCAGATGGAATTTTGAAAAAAGCTCGAGCCAACATCCCTGCATATAGTTATTTAAATACAACACACTCACCAAACAAATGAGTTCTTGTCTCCATAGGGCAAGAACATAACGAGCATGAGAAGGGGCTCGTTCCTCCCCAGCTAACAACCTTATCACAGGTTGTGATATAGTTCTTTACCACATGCCAAATAAGGAATTGATCCATGGGGATTGAGGGATTTTTCCATATTAGAGAATACCAGGGGACTGGAGACTCCCTAGGACTAAACTCCTCCCAAACCATCTTTATCTATATTTCTTCATGACATTACTATTCCAAAGGACCTCTCCATACACCATAGACATCTGCTGCCAAATTTTATCAATGCTTTTCAACAGTTTCAACCAAATTCAAGATCCAATTTTTGATTGAAAAGTCCAAAAATCATGGTTCTTGAGTTTGTATTCCCTCAGCCATGCCACCCATAGGGATCCCTGTTGCAAGAGGATTAGCCAAATATGCCTAATAACACACGAAAAGTTCCAGCTCATAACATCCCTTATTCCCAATCCACCTTCTTTTTTAGGTAGAGTTAAAAAGTGCCAAGCTGTTGTAGCCCTCTTCTTTCCATCAGACTCAACTCCCCATAAGAAGTCACTACAAAGCTTCTCTATTTCCTTGATTACCCTTTTAGGTAGTATAAAAACTGTCATCCAAAACTGTGTCAAGCTAGCTAATACAGACACCACAAGTTGCAAACGTCATGCATAGCTAAGAAACTTTGTTTTCCAACTATGGATTCTGCCAGTTATCTTGTCTATCAATGGCTTACATACTTTAATTGAAATCTTTCCAGGGATTAGAGGGAATCTCAGATATCTGATTGGGAGTGAGCCCAGTTTATAGTCTGCCCTCTGTGCCATCTGAATTTGCCATTCCATTGGGAGCCCTCCACAAAATAAGTCACATTTCTCAGGGTTTGATTTCACACCAGATATTCTTCTAAATTCCCCCAAAATCCTCTAAATACACTGAATTCCGCAATTTGACCCGTCTGAGAACAGTAGTAAGTCATCTGCAACATTAAATGAGAAAGTCCCAGCCTCTTGCACATAGGGTGAATAGGCATTTGACCATCTCTGACTACTTTCCCCATCAAACAAGAGAGAATCTCCATTGATAAAGCAAAAAGGTAAGGAGACAGTAGTTCCCCTTGCCTTAACCCTTTCCTAGCTGAGAAATATTCTACTATTCCACCATTAAACCCCACACTCAACTTTGGAGTGGTCACACACATGACAATCCATTTCACAAAACAATCAGGAAAGTTCATTGATCTCATTACTGTGATAAAAAAAATCCCAATCAACTGAGTTAAAAACCTTCATTATATCTACTTTGCTATATTTCTTGGTGAGATATCAGCCCTATTATACTTTTGTACCAGCTCATGAGCTAAGAGTATATTTTCACCAGTGACTCTTCCTTTAATAAAACTAGTTTGATTATGGCTAATTAGGGTAGGCAAAACTGTGCTAATCCTAGTTGCTAGGATCTTTGCAACACACTTATAAAGTGTATTATACACCATGAAATTGGCCTAAATAGCTTCATCTCTTCGGGGTTCTGAACCTTAGGTATCAATGCTAAAAGTGTAGAATTAGTACCTTCAGGTAGAGAGCAGATCAAAAGACAATGTTGCACTGCATAAGTAATTTCAGAACCAATTATATGCCATGATGTTTGAAAGAAGCAAGATGGAAACCATCGGGTCTCGGACTTTTATACCCTTTGAATCCAAACAGACTAGCTTTGACTTCTTCCTCAGTGACAGGACGAACTAATTATGCTTGTTGAGCCTCGTCTACTTTGAATTAAAGAAGACTTTGAATCTCCTCAACAGTAATTGCCTCCACCTCAGTATCCTTCTGCCCCAACAACTTTTTATAAAATGACTCAGCTATGTGACACATACCATCTGTGTCTGTGATCACAGCTAGCTACAATTTTTCAAATTTACATATTGGTCCAATGTTTAGATTTCACTTGAATCCATGCATCCAATCCACCAATCTTTTTGAACCAATCCATGAAACCAATCCACCATAACATAAAAGTATAAATTTAGTTTGTACCATACAAGATGTTATATCACTCAACTGTAGGATAAGATTTGACCATTTTATGTTTGCTCATTACGTGAAACATTAAAAATAATCCTAACTACTATACTATTTTTATGTATTCTAATCACAAGTATGAACGGGTCCATACACGACTCAGCAACAGTCTAGAGATTTAATAATCGAACCATTATCAAGTGTGATCTCTTACGTTTATACAACTCTGTTTTGTTTGGTAATAAAAGTTTATCGCCATTATAAAAAAAATTGAACCATGAACCACTAACCTTTTCAGCTCAATGTCGAGTTCAATAAAAAACATATATATATATGGTTATTACTTATTAGAAAGTCGTCATTTTTCACTATGGGATTTGAAGGCGTGAATTTTTAAGCGAGTTATAGCTCGTATTCCTTTTGCTTCTCTCTAGTGTTATTTTTTCTTCACCCGGGCTAGAATTTTCAACAATTATACATGGAATGTTTGGCTAGGTATCTACACATATCAAATAAATAGTTTCCATTTTTCTATAAAAAAAGTAAATAATCATCATTTTAAATACATCACCATAAAAGGAATCAAGCCTCAACTATGCAAATTACAGTTCGGTACCTAAACTTAATAGATCTTTAGATTTATAACCTTTTTTTGCAATATAAGTCCTCAAATTATTGATGGAACATTACATTTTAGTCCTAAATTTTTTGTATATTCTAAATTTTTTATGTATAATTAAAATGCACTCGAATAAATGGGTATCCATACCCAACTCATACACATTTAGATTGTAGAAGTAATTATCCATTCCATACCCTACCCAAACTCATCTACAAACTTCCAAACCCATATATGGGTCACTTATACCCCACTCATAATCAATGGAGCTAGTTGGATTTAGGTAAATATCATATATTAGCCAAAATTTCCATTTTTTTTTTTAAATTGGATGTTGACCGTTATATATATTTTATCTGTCAATATCTTATTGTCAAGTCAATATTACTAACAAAACTGCTGACAAAAAATTAATTTTAGACTAATTATACTAACAAAACACCATAACAGACCACATAATACATGCCTATATGCTATCTCCATTCGCGACAAGGCACGACATCGCCACCTAGTTATATATACTAATTGCAGTGATATATTGGTCCTTAACCCAAACATTTTGGATTTAAGAGAAACTAACCACTTAACCAAAGAGAGAAAAAAAGGAGGAGGCTAGAGAGAGAGAGAGCAACAAGGGGTTATATAACCTCGTCATCCCGCGCCGTTACTGGACGCGCTGTGGATTAGGTTTCTAGGGTTTGTATTTAGTCCATGGCTATGGCATGACCGATCCATTTCTTAGCGATTCCATCTTCGTTCTCCTCACTCTTCTCCCAGCACTTTCCCCGACGGCGATTCTTTGCGAATCGTCTCGATCAGGTAAAAAAAAGAAACGCCGTTCTTCTCCTCTTCCCGAAAAGCGCTCGATTTGTTTAGTGCCGGAGCTGTTTCTAGTGCGCTCTCTCGTTCGTTGTTGCCCATCGTCGTGAGATTCCGAATAAGCTTTTTGGCGATTCGGGGTGTTAATTGTGCCATGGTGTATTTCAATTGGTGTTTTGTATTACTTTCGTGCATTTCTCCTCCGACTTGTCGTTTGAGAGAAACTAGATCTTTTTTGTTGAGTAATTTTTCTTCATTTGGTTTCCTTTTCCTATGTATCTCGATTGTTCTAGTGGGTCCTGGGTTGTATCAACGACTGAGATGGGTCTCTAGTTAAGCTTCGTTATCATCTATGGATGATTCTTCCCAATCTGCAATAGTATTGAATCTCCTTCTGTGCTATCTCTTCGGGCTGGATCTTATCTTAATAGCTTTTGTATCTTTGAAGATAATAAGTTTTATGCATACAGAGGCTGGTTTTCAATGTTCAATTGCATGTTGATTACTGAGTGTATGGATTATGCTGCAATGTATTTGCTTTGGCTGATTCTGGTGTTAGCGAGGTAGTGTTTCTAAGCAATTTTGCCATTTCTTACTTTGCCCACCAAATCCTTAATGGGTTTGATTATGTTTATGTTATATATCGTTTAATGATATGTCAACTGTGTTTTGAATCCTCTATTGCCTGAAATCTTGGTTACCTTTTGTGTTAGGTGACTTCTCTGCACTAGTATTACTAGCTTTGACAAGAATGGTGTTTGCACAAGGTTAAGTTATTGGTGTTTGCTGATCTGAATTTCATCTACTTCCGTCATTGTCCTTCAGCTATGCCTTGCATGCTCGGACGTGTCACAATTTTGTATACTGTTGAGTGTTTGGAAAAATGACATCGGTGTGCATTGTGCAAGTGTATAGTTGTCCCTGTAAGTTCTTAAACTGTGATCCATTGTTTGATTCAGTGGTAACAGCATTGTGATGAAAAGTTCAAGACACTCTATGGTTGAAGTTCTGACAGCTACTTCTTCATACTAAATGCTGGAGATTGTACTCTGATGCAAGACTACCATATTGGAGTGTTCACTTAGTTGGAATCTGTACTCGGGCATGGTTTTTATTGTTATTATTAATATATATGTATATGAAAGTGCAATTACCTATCATTCTCTTGTTTTTCTTAAACCGATATGAACTTTGTCCGGCTGAAGGATTTTGAAGCAATAGGAGAAGTTTTCTTTGGGAAGACTTAATCTCTCACACCGCCCCTGCATCTGCATGCTTAAGCTGGCTATATAACACAATAGTGCGTTCAATTGGTTTTTATGATTCAAGTGGAAGGCCAAGTGTCTGGACTTATTTTTTACTGCCCTCCGCTGAGCCAAGAGCGTAGAGCAGACTTCTTGAAAGAATCATGAGTGAAAGAGAAACAATTTTGATGGTTGCGATATGGTTTGGTTAATAATGAGAATTGGGCTGCTTTTAGTTGCCAATAATGAAAAGCAAATATGAGATGTAACTGAAGGGTTAATCAGAATCAAGATTTTTCAGTGAGATGCCGCTAAAATTAACCAACTACTGTTCAATGAGTAAAATTCAATGTATATAAGGGATGTGGCTACCAGCAAATACTGGTCAGAGGAATCCGTATTTTGTTTGACCACCTTTTTCTGCTTTGCTTATATGGCTATGATGGCCTCAGATTTCATTATGGTTGAAGTGTGGTTGTTGTTTTGATTGCCAACCTGTAGCTTGATGTATGCACTTACTATCATTACTGGATCCAGTTTGTATAGCTGATTGTTGATCTTTATTTTACATTTCAGGTGTCTTGCAGTATTTTCTGATTCTGGGTTAGAATGTCAAATGATCTTGTTTCACAGCAGCTACCAATTCGGAGCATACAAATGAGTCAACAGCTGGAACACATTTCAGGCAAGTTGAACCCTTCAACACAGATGGGTTTTGGATCAGGCGCTTCCTTGCACGATTCTTCAATGCAACAAGTATCTGTTCCCATCATACAAATGGGAACGGTGGGCTCACATCCCAGTGATGCAGCTTCACAGCAGACATCGGCCTCCATAGGAGTTGGAACCACTGTATTTAGCAACAACAAACAAGAGACTGCACAGATTGATCCTTTTTCCTATAATATGGCATCTGGGAACTTCCTGATGCCTGATAAGAAGCCCAATTCCATGGGGTCCATGTTGCAGGATATGGAACCACAGCAGTTAGCAACATCAAACAAGAGAAAGGCACCAATGGGGGCTGCTGTACCTCAGAACCCTGTGCCCCAGAGATATATAGCTCCCAAGCGGTTTACTCTAAATGAGCATAGGCCATGGCTGCAGCCAACAATGCCTATAATGAATAAACCACCTGCCCAGATGCAGTCTACGTCTTACACCCTGTCATCCCAGCCTCTACAAGGGCCTCCTAGAAAGACTGCTCCTATTAAAACTGGAGCACAAAGTACTACATCTGTGCAGAGAAGTCAACCTGGTCCAATGAAACCCCCGCCGAAAGTGAAGAGTGATTCGTTTGCTTCTGTTAGGTCCAAGTTGAGAGAGTCATTAGCAGCTGCACTTGCTCTGGTGCAAGATAAGGCCATTGGTGGTGGGAAAGACAAGAGTCAAGCAGCAGGTTCGTCGCCGGAACCACCTTCCAGTGCTAATGGTACCAATCTATCTTCAGAACCAAGGGTTTCTTTGTCAGAGAACACTAATGCCCATAACATAAAGCAAGATGCTGATTTAGTACAGAACTCACTGAATGGTTTGCAGGAGCAGCCATCAGGGAATACGGTTAGCATTGAGGATATTCCATTTAGTGACAACTTTTTTGTGAAAGATGACCTTCTTCAGGGTAATGGACTCTCATGGGTGCTAGATTCTGAAATGGAGTTGATAGATGAAACCAACATTGGCCAAAACTCGCCAGATCAAGATAGTGCTTCTAAGCAGGTTCAGAACCCTGAAATTTTGGCATCTGAGGTGGAAGCTGAACTCTTCAAGTTGTTTGGAGGAGTGAACAAAAAGTACAAAGAGAAAGGCAGGTCTCTTTTGTTCAACTTAAAGGATCGTAATAACCCAGAATTGAGAGAAAGAGTTATGTCTGGAGAAATCTCACCAGAAAGGTTATGCTCCATGACTGCTGAGGAACTTGCATCAAAGGAGCTTTCTGAATGGCGTATGGCCAAAGCAGAAGAGCTTGCACAGATGGTTGTTTTACCAGATTCAGAGGTTGATATCAGAAAGCTTGTGAGGAAAACACATAAAGGTGAATTCCAAGTTGAGGTTGAACATGATATGGATGTCGTCTCAGCAGAGGTTGCTGTTGGGACAAGTTTCATCAGTCAGCCGCAGCAGCAAGCCAAATTGAAAGAAAAAGAACAGTTTCCTACACCGAACGGTGAGAAAACAAATGACCGGGGAAAAACCCGAGAGGGCGAGGATGCTTCTTACACCCTCACTATTTCTTCTACTACTGAAGGATCTGATTTCATGCAAGGACTGATGGTGGATGATGAGCTCAAAGATGCTGCATTTCTTCCTCCTATTGTTTCCCTCGATGAATTTATGGAATCACTTGACACAGAGCCACCATTCCAAAGCTTGCCAGAGGATGCTGGGAAAGCAACAACCCCAGAAAAGGATGATGGTTCACAGGTTGGCTCGGAGTCCAAGTCTCCTGTCGCCACTCCAGAAGATCCCGCTGGGAGTTCTTCTGGCAAGGCCAGAACTGATATGATGGATGTGAGGGCAGATGCTGCTGACGAATCCAGCAAGAAAGATCATGTGAAATCAGATGCCGCCTCCCCTCCTGTTGTTGATGATGTGATTAAAGGGGAACGAGTCTGGGAAGGCTCAGTGCAGCTTAATGTTTCAGTTATGGTGTCATTCGTAGGCATCTTTAAAAGGTAAGCACTAAATCCTACTTTGTTGCGATAGATTGATTTGTATCTTCATGTCTGATTCCAATACTTTGCTGAATCTTTGGCTGTTGGCAGCGGGGAGAAAACACCATCGAAGGATTGGCCTACCTATATCGAGATAAAGGGGAGAGTGAAGCTTGAAGCATTTGAGAAGTTCCTGCAAGAGCTCCCAATGTCCAGAAGTCGTGCTGTTATGGTATCATCCCCGGCTTCTTTTATTTGTAGTAAATTTCAGTTAAATTCCATACATCAGCAGCAAAAGGGAGAGAGGGCTTTGGCTCCTAGTGTTCCAGCTTGGGTAACGAGGCAGGGACAGGCATTTTCATCGATCATGCTGAATTGCCGCCTCGAGTTTATGATGAGATATATTTGTACAATGAACTCGTGGGTTGATGAAAGTTCGAATCTATCGATACCCTTATGGCGAAATTTAGAATTCTTGCGTAATCGCATGCCCTCAAAATCTCCAGGAACGTCTGCGTTGCTTAGTAAAACAAAAGCAATTAGTGGTCCTACGAAATGTGAATCCTGAGTGAGCATATCCCTGTGACGATTTTATGCTTTCTTGTCCGACAGGCGACCAACCAACCAAAATTTGATGTCTTTGAAGAACAATATGCTTAAACTAGACTGATGTAGAATAGAAACGGCGCATGTAAAACATATACTCCTAATAGTAAGGGCCCATTTGATTTCGCTGACTCCAGACTTTCAACTCTTTCTATGCAGGCGGTTCACTTTGTGTGCAAGGAAGGATCGACTGAAAGTGACAAGGCAAACGTGGTAGAGGTAAGTTACCAGACAAGTGTATATATGTGAAAGCTTGTAACTTGTTGAACTTGCTACTTACTGCTGTGGGAGTCACTGGTGATTGAGTTATGGTTGTTGATACCCAGGTGGCAGAGTCTTATGTAGGAGACGAACGAGTAGGTTTCGCGGAGCCGGTTTCTGGAGTTGAGCTCTACTTATGCCCACCTCACTCAAGGATATGCGGCCTGCTGAGCAAGGTCCTCCCGCAGGACCAAATGGACGCCCTTAATCTCCTTGCCAACGGACTAATTGGCGTCGTTGTATGGAGAAAACCTCAAATAATATCTCCCCACCATAAGCATAGTAGCAAAGACGCTTCCAAGAAGCAGCAGCACTCTTCGTCGAAAAACCGGAACCCAAAACATCAACACTCTGCCCTTCCACCCCCTCCTCCACCACCCATTCGTTCCAGGCCGCCACCGGTTAATGTTGGTGATGATGATGACGACGACGATGTGCCTCCTGGGTTTGGTCCGCCGGTGGCTGGTGGATCATCCCGGGACGAGGATGACTTACCTGAGTTTAATTTCAATAGTAATGCTGCAAATAGGCCGCCGCCGGGTTTCCCCGGTGGTGTTCGGAGTTTTCAGTCGTCAAACTCCCCTCGTGGTCCTGTTGTCGACCAAATGAGAGAACTTATACATAGATATGGACAGCCCGGTGTGGGTTCCTCCCCCTTGAAAAACTGGACAGATAATAGGGTTCCTGTACAACCATGGAAAGACGACGATGACGACGATATGCCAGAGTGGCGGCCGGATGATGCCCAGCACCATTTAGCTCGGCGGCAGCCGACTGTGGTACACGGCAGCAATATGATTCAGCAGCCAGTTCCTCAGGTGATGAACCCTATTGTGCATCATCAGACCAGTGCACTGCCACCTCCACCGCCGCCGCCAGGGTGGCACCAGCAGCAGCAGCAACAGGGCGGTGGGTGGGCAGATCAAGCCGTGGGCCCTCATGGCTTGTACCAGCAGCAGCAACAACCTAATGGAGGACAGTTTTATGGCGGGCAGCAATGGTCAAGAGATGCCCCTAAAAGTAGAGGCTTTTAGCTTTCCCTTCATTTTGTAAATAAATTTGTTTCTTTCTTCTTTTAGATAAGGTTTAGGAGATGACAGATACCCTTTTTAGCTTCCCTTGCTCGTTTCTTTTCATGGTTCTTTAGTTCTCTGAACAACTTGTGGCAGTCACGAACGCCTGTAGCTCAACATAGCGTCTTCCTTTTTTGTGTGGCTATTCTCAATGGTCAATATGCACAACTTAGAAAGGGTAGAATAATCATTGTATTCATTGGAGTTGTCTGAAAACAAATGACTATGGGAACTGGCCCTAAGAAGTGTGTACTGTATGGACATTCGAATCAAAAGTAAAGGGAGACGAGATTAAAATCGGATATAAAAACAAGTTTAATCTCACAACAACTAGAGTGATGTATGATCGTAGCTTTATACAACCCTGCATTGACTATACATCATAACAGTTTCACAACTCTCCCAATTTGTCTTTGCTTCAGCCCCCTAAAAAACACTTTAGCCCTGCCCTCTGTTCCATCGTCAACTTCGTCGGAAACTTGACCTCGAACTTGATTATCAAATCTCCCCTATTGCCAGGCTCTTTAGCTATCGGCATCCCTTCCCTCGCCACGACGAGCTCGTACCCAGGACTTACAATGTCTGTCACTGGAACAGACAGGGTCCGACCATCCAACGTGTCGATGCTTGCTGTGGTCCCACCTAACGCCTCCGCCATGGTGACCCGATGGTGGATCATTAGGTCATTCCCATCCCTCTTGTAAACATTGTGAGGTTTCTCGTCAATCATGAAAATCAAATCTGCCGGCTGCTGGTTGGGCTGCTCATTCCCTTTGTCTGGGAATGTTATCTTTGTTCCCTTCTTCCATCCTGGTTTCACATCTATCGTAAGTATCTCAGTTTCTTGCGCTTGCCTCCTGTCACAAGCACGAGTGGGAAGAAAATACTCGATAAGGGTGTGCTTGTTTCGAATAAAAATGGTAAACAACTTGAAACAAGCTAGCTTGGAAGTCAGAGCAAACATATTATGAAAAATTACCCATGGGAGTCAACTACAGTTCTGGAGATCTTCATTTTCCTGGTGGAGCCAGAGTAGAGCTCCTCTAGAGTGCATGACAATTTGCTCTCCACAGGGGGAGGCTTTCTAGGAGCAGTGGTGGTTGTTGTTCCTTCGCTTCTGAACATGTTACTGCCGTCAAACATCCCATTTGTCGCGGTTGCGACGCTTTCTGACTGGAATCTGGACGATGATCTACCAACACCTGTTGGTCCCCCACCAAACCCGAACGGGCTGCTCCCGAAGAACTCTGCAAATATGTCTTCAGCATTCCTGGAATTGAATCCATTTGCCCCATTTGGACCATTTCCGAATCCAGATGGTGGGATTTCATTCAGCCCTTCTTCTCCATATTGGTCATATATTGCCCTCTTTTGTGGGTCGCTTAGCACCTGGAGAAAAGAAGGAAAAAGCAAGCAGAGAACGTTTAGGAATAAGTAGGAAGGAAATATACAGAAATTATCCTGTAGATTTATTGGGTTCTGGGTTTAATTTGATTACATCATAAGCTTCAGAGATCTGCTTGAATTTAGCTTCAGCTTCCTTCTTGTTGTTGGGGTTCTTGTCAGGGTGCCATTTCATAGCCAATCTTCTGTATGATCTCTTCATATCATCCTCTGATGCACTCTTGTTCACCTTCAATATGCTGTAGTAATCTACACCCATTTCTTTCTCTTTGTTTTACTCTTTCCTCCTGGGTTCAACAAAACCCCGAAAGAAAAAAGCAGTAAAATTTAGGACATTTCCTCCCAGACCCAGATCATGAAAGTTATTCTTATACCACAAGAAGAAAGAATGGAATGGTAAATTGGGGGGTTTTCCTTCTGTTCCAGAAGATTTTGGAGAAACCGAAAGGATTTATTATATCTGAAAAAGGTTTAAAGAGGGTAGGGGATAGTTATTTTATTTCTGTATTGACAAGAAGGGGAATGGGAAGCCATCTTTGGTACTTGGTAGAGGTCTGAGTTCTTTACCCATATGATCGAGCAAGAGTAGCTACAAAAAGTAGGCAAGTTTGGAGATTCAAAAGAAAAGGAGAAAACTCACGATTTGTCCATTTGGCATCTTGCTTTTTGTTTTTGGGTTTTGTTTCTTCCCATTGGACTGTGAAATAAGGAATCGATCACATATATAAAATCCAGAATAGGCATAATAATGATAACACCAGCCTTGGAAGTTGGAAATGCCGAAATGGAATCTCACCCTACGGTACTTTAATGCCACCAACTGTCTGTTCAGTTTTTTGCTAACAAGAAAGCCTGTTACATTCCACATCAGCATCCTCTATAATGTGTGTGTGTGTGTGTGTGTGTGTGAGCGAGAGAGAGAGAGAGAGAGAGAGAGAGAGAGAGAGAGAGAGAGAGAGAGAGAGAGAGAGAGAGAGAGAGAGAGAGAGAGAGAGAGAGAGAGAGAGAGAGAGGTTTACCAGGTCAAGAGAAGGTATGGGAGCAATTGGCCTCTTTGCCAACCAAGGCTTCAGCAATAAGAACGTGACCTGCCAACTGTCATTTTATGATGTGAGAATCTTATTACATTCCGTTTCTTGTATGGTTCAAGCAAGAACTTCCTACGGAAAATGCTGAAGTATGGAGCACCATTACCACTAGATCCATGGATCCAAAATCATATTCACTTGATAAATAAAGTATATACACATCAAGTAAATTACACTTGAAAAGGTTCAGGAACAAGACAAGGATTTTATAATTCTTTCACACTATACTATGTTATCAAACCCAGCACTCAAAGTAGATCCTTTCTCCTAGAATGATCACTAGCCAATCTAGTTACCAACGTTTAACACGAAACTATTTTCCTCTCCTTACCAGCAAGTATGAATAGCTCGACAAATCCATCAGCAACTCTTCTCTCATATCCACACATTTCAATGGATGGAATCTTCCCAGGGGTTACCTTTCTGAAAAGAACCAATCTCAATTTCATCAATATCTGCAGCATCTAATAGTCAGATAGACTAAACAAAGCAGCCTTACTGACACAAACATAACCATAAAACTACATGTAAAATACCATAACTACTCGAGAAAACTGACCAAACACCATGGGGTTCCATTTTAGTGTCAATTGGCGGACCTCATCACAAGATTAAAGCTTCCGCAGGTTGGAGGATTTCATACTGTTTCCATGTGGACAATGCAATCAATTAGGGGTGAACAATACAATGCAGGAGGAAAAGTAACCAACAACCAGATATTTTGTGTGACATGAAATCTTCAGGATGAATAACCTCCATAGTCCATACCTAGTTCTTGATTATTTGAGCTTAGCAGAAGCTTTCTCTCTACAGAAAGCTGGGCATGATTGACAGCAAATGAAGATGTACAATGATCTGAACGCATGCAAGATTTAACGAGTAATTCCTCTCTGTATTTCTGATATGTCTTCTTCTCTCGACTTATAATGAGTAAAATTTCTCAAGTGTCCACGGCTTTGTGAAGACCTTCATCCAACTTAATCAAGGATTTCAGAATCACATCATTAGCACAAGCTTCAATCACCATGTTACCCAGCAGCAACAGAGTATACTTCACTTTACATCACCACAACATAACTCCCAGTAATGGTTATGGAGTTGCCAAAGCTGTGATCAAACTGTCCACACATAGCTTCCGTCCCGCCAAAAGTACTATAAATAGTGACACGTATAACAAGCTCAATTTCAGTCAGTTCATCCATACCCCTTTACAAATGAAACAGGCGCAAAAGTTGCATGCGTCCTGGCATAAGCTCGCGACATAATATCATACGAGGCAGCATTGGGCAGAAATCCAGAATTGCTGAACTTTTCAAAGACTCGGGAAGCTATTTCACGCGAACCACTCTTGCAAAGCTCATGCAGTGCCACATTAAAAGTAACTATGGTTGGTTTAGGGCCATTGAGCAACATGTTATCCAAAAGCTTCAAACATTCTGAAACCTTTCCAACTCTGCATGAATATCGAATGAGGCAAGTTGATGTGAAGACATCATGGGTAATACCTTCATTCTGCATACGACACAAGATCCATTTGACAATCTCAGAACTCCTCTGTCTGCAAGCCCAAGACAAAATTGTATTAAAAGAGACTACATCAGGCAAGAATTGGCTCAAGAGTGTCACAGCCTTGTTAAATTTGTTTTCCCTACAAAACCCATTAAGAATGATATTATACGACACATTGCTCGGAATGAAACCTGCACCAGTCATTCTTTCTAACAAAGACAATGCTTCAGCTGTTCTGTTCTGGCTACATAAGCACTGGAGATAGATATTGTAAACGGCAACATCAATAGGATAGCCCTCTGAAATGGTATCCAGCAAAAATCCAACACAGTCACCAACTCTTCCCGCTTTTAAAAGGCCTCCTCCTAGCACAGCTACGGTGTAAGCATCAGGAGAGTATCCTTTAGATACAATCATATCTAGGAGCACAGTAATGTCAAACACTCTATCCAGGTGAGAGAGTTCTTGAAGAATTATATTATACACTAGCAAGTCTGGACTGCATCCTTCCGTCTCCATTAAACTCGGATACCTCAATGCCTCTTCTACCCTCCCATTTACACAAAGGAACTTAACCAACACAGTGTATGTAACGAGACTAGGCTTCAACCCACTATCTTGCATTTCATCAACAAACCACCAAGCATCTTCCCACAACCCTTCTTTACAAAAGCCATAAACCAAAGCAGTATAAGAGCATACATCTAGTCCAAGACCCGTTTTCTTCATCAAGTAAAACAGCTGCAGAGCAGTGTATGTCTTACCAGACTTACACAGCGTCCAAAGAATCGGATTCAAAGTGTACACCCCAAAAAAGCAACCTTTAGCAAGAAGGGAGGAGAACACGTAATATGCTGCCTTTATCATTCCATTCTTGCTAAGCATACAAATCAACATATTGACAGATGGTTCCGTAGGGACATAGTCCATCATCAACATAACATCAAAAACACCTAGGGAATCCGTTAAACTATTCGATTCAATACATTTCTTCAACCACCTGGACAAAAGTGTAAACGATGGTAGGAACCCACTGGTAAACATCTGCCCCAGAACAAAGAACGCAGCTCTGAAATTCCCAACTGCCACCAGGCCATTAACAATCAAATTAAAAGTAATGGCATTCGGTGCTATCTCAGAGCTTTCCATCATTCGGAGACAAACTTCCAGCAAAACATCGGAGAAACGATTCCCACACTTCAAATAACTGTGCACCAAAGCATTGAAATCATTAACTGTTGGCTTACCGGGGAAGTTCCTCATCAAATTCCAAGTCCACAGAGCTTGCCGGAGGTCGCCTGAAGCAGCGTGGCCTCGCATTCCACGCTGCAAGTCGTCGTAACTGGAACTGACGGTCGACTCGACTTCCCCACCACCATCGATTTTTTGCAGCGCACAAGAGGAAGAAGAGAAAGAAGCAAGTTTGGGGAAAATGACTGACGAGTATGTGCGAAGGCCACGCCTGCAGAACCTAATTACAGAGTCTGAGCATAAGGGCATCGCCGCGAGGAGAAGAAATGGTTGATGTTTGAGCCCAGAAGGTTGGCGGGGAGCGCGGGAGCTGGGCGACGAACCATGCGCGTAGGAGCAAAAGCTAGAACAATGGGCATTCCTGGAAGTTGGAAAGAAAGGGTTTAAGAGTTGGGGTTGGGAATTAAGTTACGGTGGCGGTGGGTGGATTTGCGAGACGACAACGCGCCGGCGGGCAGTGTTTGCATTTTCATGGACCGACGAAAATGGGCCTCCGCGGATCCTTAGCCCACTTCTTTTTCCGAAAATCTTCAATCACCGGCGTGCAATGTTGTCTAACCTGTGGGTTGACCCGGACCTGGTCGATCTAGTGGGTTAAGGGTTAAAGAGTCACCCATTTTAGTTCGGAAATATAGAAAGAGTCATTATATTGTATTTATCCTGATAAATTATATCAAATCTCATCTAACATATGAGTAATAACATATAACATTACACTAAAGTAACATGTCGTACTTAGATCCAATATATAGTGAAATTCACACACACTTATATAACATCAATATTCAAATGTTCAACTAAGGATTCCAAAGATTGAGTTAGGCGAAAAGAAAAATCGGAAAATAGGCGCATTTCGCAAATCAAATGAAAAAATGACACAATTTGACCTCCAACCTGATACCTTTTAGCGGTCGACCCGGCGGTTGCGTGCGGCCCGTTTTTCTCACCGGGGTCAAAGTCAAAGCGGGTTGATAACCTTGCCGGCGTGACAATACAGTAGGCCAGTGTGGCCCATGATTCACCTTTAGAAGAACCAGGTTCTGCCCTATAGGAGTAGTAATCCATATGGAGTATGGAAGTGGAAGAGGACAGTTTAGCGTTCGGATTTCATCCAAACTAGTTACACGTACGAAGGATTAAGCATAATTCTTTTTTAGCTAATGTAGAAGGATTCGTTAACATGATTACTTCGTCTTTGATGTAACAAGGCCATTGATGTAGAGGATTTGTCATGCTTACAAGAAGGATCAATCGTGGTTACTGATTGGTACGAGCCATGCTTATTACTCGTACATAACCATGCTTATTTCTTCAAATGAGAGATGACCTACGATTAACAGAAATTATTGTCAGATAGTGCGTGGGCTAGCATGGGAAATCTTTCAGCACTTGACTATGTATAATCCAAACACGGCACTGCTCTTACAACAGCCAAACCATCCACTGTCATCCTCGACGGTTTTTACACCCTATCGGGAAGCAAACCCGAAGAACACTGAAAACTGCAGAACCCAAAATGACCAACCTTCCAGTTAGGAAGATTCAACACCTGAAACCTGTATGCCTGTGAATCCAAGCAAAAGAAAACCACCCGGGCAAACTCTGTACCACAACATATTCTATGTAGTTTTTCCCTCTTTAACCCAGAATTCCTCTATCTATGTACCAATCCTTTATCCACATAAATGGGGTGAAACAAAAGAGATTGAACAACACTTTCAACACTTGCTCTGTTTTTGTCCCCAAGTAAATGAATCAGGTTGTTGAGACTACGGGGCCCGAGACAGAGGAGGAACCAGATGAAGAGGCACTGGTTTCACCTACGGCGTTCTTCTGTTTCACTGGCGACGCAGGCTCCGAAACATCCCAGATATCCAGAGAATCTGGGAGAGGAATGTCAACCTGCAGGAGGACAAGGAAAACAAAACATAAGGCAATTGTCAACTAGCAGAAGTAGAAACAGATATCACGTCATTAGCGCCACAACAAGAGTCTATATTTGTTAGGTCTTAGGATATGCTGAGATTCAATAGTAGCCTAACCAAATGGCAAAGAAGCCGCAAACAATTAATAAAGTACACCAGGAATGGAAGGGAAAAGTGTCTGAGTAGGGATCAGTTTGAAGTCCAGTAGAAGCGCCTGGCAGCATCTTGCGAGAAGATACCAAAGCTAGAAAACAAGAAACCCAAGAAAACGCTCCATAGTTTTCTACCACTTATTAAGTAAAAAACAATGGAAGAAACATACAAACAGTTGTAGTAGGTCCTACACAAAATCAACCTTTCTCCTTTAGCTTCCTGACCTAAAGAGAAGAAACCTTTCCTCTTCACATTCACTGCATAACACAACCTAAATTACAGCCTTAAAGCCTTCGGAAAATATACAAAGTTATAAATTAAAATAAGAAGCAAGAAAAGCACTTCACTGGATGGGTAGCACTAGCAGCCTTGGTAGAGCTAAACGATTACAATAAGTGAAGAGAGATGAATAAATACACAAACTACTCATACAAAGGAAATTGAGAAAAAAAAGTGAGCAAATATAAGAAAGAACAATTAAACAAAGAGCAAAACAGTAAAAAGGTATATAGAGCGACATATAAGTGGTATAGTCAGACATTGAGCAATAAAAGAAAGCTAATTCAGATCTCTAGATTAAGAAATGCTTTAGCGGTCGTTTGGATGGATCAATTTAGAAATGAGTCAATTTAATCAATTGTCTCGTTTTATAAACGAGGCAATTAAAACGAGTCAATTCGAATTACCTACCCCCACCCCAGGTAATTGAAATTGACTCAAAATGGATCAATTCAAAATACCTCAGGCAGATTGATCCATCCAAATTTTTTGCTGCCAAACGAGGCAATTTGGTACAATTGTCTCAAAACGAGACAATTATGTCAAATTGATCCGTTACAATTCCTCATCCAAACTTTAGACATCAAATACAATCTAACCAGACTGCCAGAGGAAGCATCAACCATGCCAGATGAGATAACTACTATTTTACAGGACAGTCAGCACTGAAGCCAAGAGCATCCCACAGTGGAACAACCATTAAGGAGAAGAAACCATTCAAAGGTTACTCTTCACTTACCTCAAGCTGGTTAAGCATGTCAACAGTATTTTCCAAGTCTCCATTATTAGCTGCATACACATCCATAAGTGATTCGGAAGATACACCAGGAAACGTCATCTGTAGAAATTCCAACTCAAAGTCAGACTCTTCATCCATAATTTGCTTATTGGTTCTTCCATCGTGAAGTTGTGATGATGAACCATAGACTCCATGCCCATAGTGGCTCTCTGTCGAGGCTGAAGTAATTGGAGAAGCTACCCCATGCTGCCTGTTCTCAGCGGCATAACCAGGTCCATACCACACATTTCGATTGCCACTCTGTGGAGCTTTTGCAACCATTCCTGGAGACTGAGTATGTTCAACTACCTCCCTCCTAAAAAGAGGTATATACGAGGCTGCATATGGGTTCAAACTAGAATTTCCTGGCTTCATTGCTTCAATTGAGAATATGAATCACTGAGTACCCATAACAAACAACACGAAAAAATGAATTTAAACATCATGAGCAAATGTGACAGGATTTCTGCTAGGATATTCATAATTTACAGAAGTTCAAAAGGAAAGGTTCCTAGTACTAGGCAAACAAAGGACAATTCAAGACCAACAAAATCATCTTCTACTTTGATTATACCAATGCTTATCCACTATCCTACAGCCAGGCTATTCCCTGACTAATTCTTAAGCATACCGTATCCTTTCACAAGAAAATGACGGGTTAAAATGGTCGACAAAGATCAGCAGGGAGTTCTCAAGTAAGATTTAACCACTACAACTACACAGTCAAACCAATCCGCCATTGTCACCGAGCCTTAAAGCAATGGCAGGAATCTAGCTACATAAACACTTCTTACGCATCCTCGTCAATCATTCAGCCACTAAAAACTGCTGAAACTACAAAGATAGCCAAAACAATCTCAACTGCAATCATACAAAGACTAGCAGTTGAAGAAAGCAGTCTTCATAACAAATTTCTTCAACCTTCAGAGAAACTTAACCAAAGCGAACAAAAATAAACTACAAACCACACGCATCAATCATAAACTGTAACTATACATGAATAAAACCATAGACCGTACAAATAAACAAGCGAGAGATCGCCTTTTACGATTCATTTCTCATACTCGTAACCCTACTCTACACTACGTATCCGCAGCGGGAAATTCAAAACAAGATCAGACTGGATTCCGAGTCCAAACAACAGAGATCGAAGCGCGGAGCACGCCCTTCCAACAAAGTAAACATCGGTTTAGAACGTAACGAATAACAACGCATCATAGCTAAGAACAACGACGGTTATTGCTCGCAGATGTACCTCGACAGCGGAAGTGCGAGAATGTGGAAAGATCGCCGGGAAATGAAACTGGAAGCGGAATTATTTTCCCTCCCTGCCAAGAGTTCGTCGTTCAGATCGATTGGAGCGCCGGTGAGAGCTTGGCTTTTGGAGCTGTTTGGCTTCGGCTTCTTCTCGAGACGAACAGAGAGCAAACAAGTATTTAAAGGAGATGAAATGATTGAGAGCGAAATTGAAAAGAAAGGCTTCTCAAAGACACGACCGTGACCGTCCACGACCGTTTACTAGCTAGCTCGCCTTTCCTGGGTCCGTCAGATGACGGGGATTTACGTGTAACCAGCTAACCGCCAGAAGACGGTCCTTATCTGTTGGATGGAAATGATAAACAAAAATATCTTAGGGTTGAAATGGCAACGATCATTAGTATATGGACTGAATTATACATACGACGATGCGATGCCGTCCAATGGCTATCCCAAAGAAGTGAAATACGAGACGGTGGATGAGCACATGAGGTGAAGCAGTGGAAGCACTGAAGTGAAACAAACCCGAGAAGCAACAGCTATGGCGCTTCTCTGCTCGCCTTCTCTATTCGCTTCCCACCATGGGCGGGCAGCACCTTCTATTCAGGTGGATCTCTTTTCTCTTTCGCTTCGTCGTTCTGTTATCAAGATGGATTTTTTAATCTCTCTCGTTGGGGGTTGATTTGGATTGGGTGGCAGGAACGAGAGCGGAATCTTGCTAAACCAGAAGAAGTACAAGTTAAAAGCTGAGAAGGTTTCCGTAGTCTGTAGCTCTTGTGGTGCTTCTTCTTCTTCCTTGTCTTCTTCTTCAAGACCCAGTTCGGGAAACGGAGTTTTGAGAAGGGATTTGATGCTGTTTGGACTCTGTTCTTTCTCTGGTTTCAGTGGCTCCAATTTCAGATGGGGCTCGAGTGATCATTAAGTTCTATGATATTTCTCTGTAATTGTTGTTATGTATCGAATTCAATGAATCATCCTGCACCAAATGTCTGTCTCCTGAAGAGTGTCTGGCCGAAGATGGTCTGAAAATGGGTCCAATGGTTGATGAGATTAATGCTTACAGTTACTTATATCCAATGGAATTGCCATCCAAGAAGTTCATCTTCAAATGGTACGTGTTCCTATTGAATTGAACTTTCCCTGGAAACCCTCTGTTTCACTTTCTTGATTTTTGGGATGAACATGTTATTGTGTTATGAAAGTTGAAACGCTCTAATGCCTGTCAAATTTTTTAAGAGGTGGAATCAAGAAATCCGGAGCGATACTCATCAGCCGCGCCATTATCTCGTATGTTCACTCCCTTTTGGCTTTTTTCCCAAAGTTCTGAGATTTGCTAGGGGGAAGGAAACTCCAAATGCACATGAATATAAGCCCAACTGAGGTTTTGTTGACTGTTTCTGGATTGACACAAGCTGATGCACGGCTTAGGATTGTGTCTGAGCGTGTTGATATCTTTGACAACCTCGTGATTTCTGTTTCAGTTACGTCCCACATTATTATTCATACTGATGTCCTTCATAAATGCTGCAATTGTTTTCTTTACTCGCCCTCTATCCGAGGATTATGATTCCATTGTTGGATTCAGATAGGCACCCCAAATGTCTGAGTACATAAAATCCAAGGACAAGAGCATCTGGAACGCCAAAGATGTTGCTGACTCGGCTTTGTCCGACAAGTCTGCACTGGTATAACCTGTCTCTTTTATTCTCCACATTATGAGATGAAATGAAGTGATATTGAATTCTTCATTCACATCACCAGCAACTTGGCATATGGCAACTCTTTCATTTAGCCACAATGTGAAAATATTATGAATACGGAAGAGTGGTTGTTAAGTCTTGCAATGTGGCTTAGGATAATTTGTTAATCACATTTTGGTACTGATGTTCATGGCATTTAGTGCTGATGTTCATGGAAGCGAGTCGCATCCACACAGCGACTGGCTGAGAGCTCTCTTCTTGATGCACACACAACTGAAGTGAGCTCCAAACCAATTCATTCTTATCATTATAATATCTGATGAAGTCATCCATGTCTGAAGCATAGCAACCCTATTCCACTTATCACAGATTGATGGACATTGGACAGCCTTACTGGGTTTATGAGTATCTGGTTCACAAGTCGCCTACCAAGAATGTAAGGACCATTTGAAGTCTTTTCCTTTGAATTAAGCACAAATACCCTTCGGACTTGAATGATGCAAATGCTTGTCAAATAATGGAAAAATGTTGCAGGTTCAGGAACCAAACCTCTACAGGCACTATGTTGCCTCAACATTTGAACGAGACGGTTACTTGTACTCGCTGAGTGCTTCGACTCTCAATATACAGTGGGGCGAGGTCTGTCTCTCTCGATCCATATCTCATGATGCCACGCCTTTCCTTATTATCCCTCTTGGTGTTTTCTTGTTCTTGGTTGGTTGATGGGTTAGACCAATGCTACTGCAGATGGGACCTTTCCTGGAGAGAACTGTATCGTCATTTCGCCTTCTGCCTTCCACGGATGAATATGTAGCCCCGTACAAAGACCCTTGGAGATTCTTGTGAAGACCTCTTCTTTCATTTCACATGTTCTTACCACAATTTGTTAAAATCTGAGTTTCCTTTGTTACATCTGGTTGTCCGGCTGCATTTAATTTGTATGTATGAGAATATCATATTTGAATCACCACAAGTGTCCATGCAATCCAATCGTGCTTCCTTTGATGAGTTGTTTGAAGTTATGTTTGAGCATGCATGTGGAAAACCCACACCGAACGTTCTTTGTGCCCAAACCGAACCCTGTCAGAAAAAGGATTCGCAATCCGGTCCGCCATCCAGGTTGTTTCTTGGAATCCCACCCGAACTTGGAACTGATCAGTCGGAAAACTGTAAGTTTAGATATTGGGCTGCTGGGCTCTCTTGGCCAGCCAACCCCTTCGGCTCCAACTATTGGCAGATTCGGGCAACGGATCTAGTCACTAAACAGGTCGGCTATTAATCATATATAAATTTTTACAATTCAAATTTAATGGAAAATATATTTTTTGCTTTAGTTTGGAGTTGAATTTTTTTACATTGAAAAATCAGATTAATTGTAAAATCAGATTAATTGTGTTATTTATATATTTAGAAATAAAAAGATTTAGGCTATATTATTAGTCTGTACCATGATTGCAATGTTCGATAGTATATAAGAATATATCATGGCAATATGAATATATTGTCATACACTAGTTGATTTCAATAACTCGAGTTGTTGGGAGAAGATTATTATGAATATCATACCACTGTCTTATATGCCCCCTCAAATGAAAGTTAACTCACAGGCTTAAAGTTTGCACGTGCCTACCATACCTTGTGATTTAATTTACTATTAATATTGGGGGGTCGTGAAAATTCAAATACACGACCACTTGGCCATTGGCCAAACTAGCTCTGATACCATGTCAGAAATCAGTTGGTCTCAATAACTTGAGTTGTTAGGAGAAGGTTGTTATATATGGATCTTATACCACTCTCTTACATACACCACAATGTAGAATGACTATCTATAATAGTATGAATATTCTGCATCACCATCAACCACCATATACCAAGATCGTATAAGACGGTATATCTAGTCATGAATTTTCTCCGCGAAACTTGTAGATCACAATTGATCACGATGAAATCATCTCTAATGTACAATTTTTTTATATATAATTTGAGTTAAAAAGAAGGTGGTACATAATGGCACCAGGGTCATATGAGTGATTATGAATGCTACGAAAAAAGAACTGTATTTTGTAGATCATAGTAAACTCTGTTCAATTGTGCAAAATTTTTTATTTTTTTTTAACTGAGGTAGCTTTGTAATAGATAGGGAATTATAGAGAGTTGAAAAATAAATAACGGAAATCAGTCAAATGCCGATTAGCCGATGCAAGAGCCGTTTTTGCACGCAATGGGCAGCCCTGTTAGTCCTACGAGGGGAGAAAACAAAACGATTAAACGAGAACGAAGACTTCAGCACCCGAACCTCCTCAAGGATTGCTCCACCACGATCATGCTCTATGACATTCTCCGTTACTCGCTGTATCACCAATTGCGAATCACCACAAAAACAAACAGAAACAAAGCCTCGGGTTAAGCACCAATCCATTGCATCTCGTAACGCTAGGAGCTCCATTAAAAAAGGATAAAAAATACCTTCATAATATTTGCCACAGGCGTAAATGGGTGACCTTGCTTCTGAGAACCCGACAAACCCTATGCTGCCTCGCTTTCCCCGCCGAGTGGCGCCATCATAGTGGATCAACACACCCCCTGCCGGACAGGATGGAGAAGGCGGAACAGGGCTGGGATGACCATGAGGATTCCCTCCACGCGGGCTGGAGTTAGTTGCTGCTGCCCATTCATCCCGCTGTTGGAGAAACTGACGAACTAACGGGCCTGGAAGATATTGAACACGGCCATAACAAGACCAACAACGGGTCTTCCATATACGCCATGTAAGGAACACCAACTCCGACATTTCCACTTTGCTCAACTGCAGTGAGGTAAAAATATGGGCCCAGGCCAAGTCAGGAGACAGGTTGGCTACAGTCAGCCTTACCTGTTCGTGTCCAGTGAGATACCAAATCTCCCTCGCCACTCTGCAGTCAAATAAACAGTGAGCAATTGTTTCTATTCCTGCAGAACAAACAGGACAAGAATTTGAATCACTTAAGAATTTAATCTGCAACACATCCAAACACGGCAGAAACCCCCGGACAACCCGCAACAAAAAGAACTTTAACTTGGGAGCGACAGGCAAACTCCACAGGATTTGATTATTTAACTTGGGAGCAATTGTGCAATTTCCTTGTTACTAAATTAATCAGGATTTGATTATTTAATCATATTATTTAGTTATTCTTTTCGGGGAAGGCGATGAGTGAGCCAATATCGACTAGAAGAAGGAGAAAGCACCTCGATTTATCCCAAGACAAAATAAGGTTTAGGGTTTAAGATTTACCTATCTACGGTAATGGGATAGTGATTGTGGCAAGGAAAGGATCGACAGCCCTTGAGGAGGATGATCATCGGAAGCAGACCAAGCTGGTGGCCGCGAACCGAACCGAACTCTTGTTCAAGTCCCGAGCCGGCGAAGTGGCCATTCTTCGTGTGCAATATCTGCTTCGAAACGTCGACGCACGATCCCTTCAACCCAAAGGGCTGCGACCACGTGTACTGCACTCCTTGCACCGCGAAATACATCGACACCAAACTCGCCGACAACAAGAACCGGATCCTCTGCCCGTCGCCCGGCTGCAACGGTCTCCTCGACCCGGACCACTGCCGCCGAATCCTCCCCCAATCGCTGCTCGACAGGTGGGAGGCTTCGCTGGCCGAGTCCGCCATCGATGATGCCCACAAGCTGTACTGTCCTTACCCGGATTGCTCCGCTTTGCTGATCAACGACGGGGGAGGCGGCTGCCGCCCTGGCCGCTGGCTGTTCTTCCGCCGGTTGTGGCGTAAAGATTGGAAAGCGAATTGTCCCTGGTGCAGGAGGGCGTTCTGCGTCAGGTGCAGGGTCCCCTGGCACTCGAGGATGGACTGCGGAAAGTACCAGAGGTCAAAGGCTAAAAGAGAAGACAAGATGGTCGTGGAACTTGCTAAGGCGAACCGGTGGAAGAGATGCCCTGGCTGCAGGATGTACGTTTCGAAACAGAGTGGCTGCAGTCATATTATATGCAGGTAATTACTGCACTGCTTAATTACATGAGTACTTGTTGTTGTTGTTGTTTGGTCTTGTGTGTGTCACACACACCATGATTAATTTTGATTGTTGCTGATTGTTGTGGAGGTCAATTGAACTTTTTTATTATATGTTTTGTTTTTAATTTTTTCAATGATGTAGGTGTCGAGCCGAATTTTGCTACATATGTGGTGCTCGCTACTCAATTGAGCATCGTTGTCGATTACAATAACAGGAGGGTGAATGAGTGAAGGTGGTGAGGTCGACTATGGTCAAAAGATCGATAAGATCGTCAATATCTCTTGCCTCCGACTATGAATATTATGGTACCACAAAAGTTTGAATGTGGATCAATATAACTAGGATCTTGAGATTATCAATTGTTTTACTGTTCGGCTATTCCCTCATTGGGAATTTGGTATATGTAGTTGACCCATAGTTTATTTGAGATCATGATGTTGTTAGTCTTGAGTAGAGCCCTCGACTCATCAGAAGTGTGCTTGTTTAGGAAGTTATTATAACATTAACAGGCATTTTTAGCTATAATCCTATATATTGTTAACCTTTCATAATACTTGACTCATACGCAAAGCTCTACCCTGCTCTTTTCACTCTCAGATTTTAGCACAATACAATTCGATCTTACGACTAACATTTTATGCTAGTTTCTGGCTTTATACAAAATCACGATTTGGACAATCGTCAAATAAGACACAGAAACACTCAAAGCAATCAGACAATTAAATGATAACAAAACTTGACAAACAAAAGTGGAACTTAGAATGGGTGTTGAATGGTGTCAGAATGTGCTTATTGAATCGAAGTATGTTGGCAACGAGATGGAGGGAGGACGATTGTGAAGGAAGAGAGGGGTTAGTTTTGGAAGAGAACAAAAAAAATGAGTGATTTCGAAATAGGTAATGGTGATGAGCTATTTTGAAAACCTGCGTATGAGGGTTTTTAAAATTCCTTCGTCTTAAGCTCTCTCATTGTTTATATTACTTCCAAACGAGTGATTTGATTAAAATCCTACGGATTTAGAGATTGTGCTCAAAACTCTCATTCAAATCTTTAATACAATCAACCCCGTAAGCATTTCCCAAGATGGACCTCTACTTTTGTACCAAAGGATATGTTACTGGCTAGATATTTCAAAGGAACAACCATCAGATCTACATATAGCACACTTGGGATCCGGGGAGCATATACTAGCCTCCATCTAGCATGCCCCCCCCCCCTCAATGGCTCAATCTTGGGCATTAAAATGTGTGTTAAAAGACGTTTTTTTTACTGATGAACCATGTATCTCTCATGTACTTTGTCGATGTGAGATTCGTTTAAGGTGTTATATGATTACTATGGTAACTATCAACCAATTAAGCCTAAATTTTATTAACATTGGAATACAATCATAACCAAACCAAATTTAATCGGTTTGGTTAATTGTATAACCGGGTTAACCCGTATATAACATTATCAACACATGAGAAAATATCCTTCTAATGCACCGATTTGTAATTTATACGATGAACACAATATAACAATCAACACATAGTTAACCCTTAACATTACATGCAATTAATACCATTGTCTTACCGTCATTAGAAGTAGCCACCTAATAAAAATATATGCCAAAGATACGAGATTAATGAACTGAGTATATATGTGTGAATTGAGTATATATATGTGTAACATTACATGCAATTATTACATTATATTAAAGCTCTTATCTTTAAAGTTTCGATCCACCATAATGCATGAACTTTATCTAAATTAGGTGTTCATATGTTGTTGTGAAAAATATTAACAAGAACACATATAATATAGATACGTACAATAACAAGTTTTATTATTTGACTTTGAGTGGTTATGAAAAATATTAACTATGATATATAATATATTAGATATATAACTAATTGCTTAAATGATTAATTGGTTTGATTGGTTAACATAGTCCGAAATCCCAGAACTAGCTAAAATTTTAATAAAACCAAAACAATTATCCAGATTAACCTAACCAAACCAAATTATATGAATACTACTGTGGTATCATAGAGAAACTACTTCTATTTAAGTATCCAGAGAGACTCCAAGATATTACCGTCAAAATCTCTGATCGAATCAATTTATTACAAAAATTAAAATGTTTATCACATAACCAAATGACAGTTTCACCACAAAGACATACTTATGACACGTGAGAATAAGGATAATAATTGACGATAATACAAGCTCTTTGTAGGACTCAATTTCATGGACGAACTATCTGCCAATCACCAGCGATCAACTAAGAATCTATAGAATCCAAACTCTTTATATGTGATGTGAACTCAACCAGATTAAGAGTTCATGACTAGATTAGAAGAGATAGATTCGATGAGATTATTGAGATTGTTACTGATTTAGAGATTGTTTGGATTGGTACAATATTTTTTTTGTATTAGAATCTTTGAATTTTGTAGACGATACCCTTTCTATAGAAGGAAATGAAGAATTGACTCTCGATGGCTAAAAAAAGGAAAATGACGAGAAACGGAAAGCCGGTGGGGTAGAGTACTAGTATGCCATTTGGGAAAAAATTTAGGGGTTGAGACAGAAGGAGAATACATATATTATTTTTTAAAAATAAAATATAATTTAAAATACAAATATTATATAGATAATTTTATGTTTAAAATCCATAAATAAATTTTTTGAGTAGGATATTAATTTTCTTCTTCTTCATTTGGATGTATATATTGACTTAAAAAAATAAGATGTGTTGTACTATTCTGTCTACAATTTGGTACCATATTTAATGAATTTTGTTGTCTACATTTGGATGTATATATTGACAAAATATATTAATACATTCTATTAATTGGATATATAATGCTCCGAAAAATATCCTCTTTCGTTCCATAAGTTGATAACTTTAAGTAATTCGACCAATATCTCATAAACTGGTTTTAACTTTTAAGTAATGGCCAAAAAGTTTTGGGTGTCATTTGAATATTACTATTATTATTTTTTTTTTTTAGAAAAGTGTCATTTGATTAATTACATGAACGGAAATATGAAATTCCCAATTTCGAAAATTTCTCTCGCTGGCTGGAAGTCGGAAAATATACTTGCTTTTAGCCTTGCTCAACTAACACACATATATGAAATCACCTTCGAATCTGTGCCGTCCACGTGTCAGGCCTGCTGAATCCTGCCGTTGATCTTCACATCGTGAACTCCGTACCTATTTTTCTCTAACTTTCCATCGTACGGCCTATGATCAGCCATACAGAAACACTCCTGAAGTTTCAGATCAGACGGTAGAATGTCTACCACGTGTCGGAAGACGGCGCATATAGTTTCCATTAGAACTTCTCGCGACTACATCCAACTCATGCATATAATAAATTTTCCTTTTTCGTTTATGGTTTATTCATTTTTAATTTTTCTTTTTGGCGATCTAAAGAGTAAAGTCTAAACCCCTTTTCCCCCCTTCTCCCTGAAACCGAAAGGAAACCCTAGCTCTTCTACTTCCCGTCTCTCACGCCCAAAACAGGGCAAAATTAATTTTTTCAAAATTAATCAAGAAATTGACTATAAAACCCGCCACTGCGGTAGTTCTACGATTCAAAATTTCCAGATTCGGAAGGCTGGTGGCCAATCAACGTGCGTGATCTTGGCGGTTTGCAGAACATAATCCAATTCTTCTTGCTGCTTGGATCCCGGTAGGTGGTGGTGTGATTTCCCCATCTAATTGTTTCATGGGTCTGAAGAAACGATGATGTTGTTAAGTGACCGACTGTGATCGTTTGAATTCAGTGCGTTTTTTTTCTTCCTTTATTTGGGCATGGGTGGTTCGGAGTTTTAGGTGGAATATTCATGGCGACTTTTGTTTTTTTCTCCTTTTTTTGCATTTTGGTTGTTTTGCAGATCTGAGAATGTGCTATGGAATTTAAGACATTTGCGGTTTTCATCTTCGTTGATTGGATTGTGGTTTAGTGGATGGAACATAGAGCAGGAGATAGCAATGGAGAGGAAATTCCTAAAAAGACGAGATCTCTTGATCTTAAGAGTCTATACGAAACAGAGAGTTCAAAAGAGGCCCCAGGTAAGAATTTGAAGCGGAAAAATGGTCTAGATGATGATGATGGCAGTGTGAAGAGAAGTAATAAGAGGAAGAAGGGTAGGAAGGCAGTGTCTATTAATAGATTGAAGACTGTTACTGGCAATGGCAGCAAGAGTCTGGAAGAAGTGTACAATGGCAGCTTGACTTCGGTTTCACTCGATTCGAGAGACTCGAAGCTGTGCTTGAGTCAGAAGTCGAATGACTGTGGTGGGCTCAATGTGATTTCATTAGCTTTGGAAGATGATGTTGTTAAAGTCCCGAGGCGGAAGCGAGGTATAGTTAGGCGACGGAAAGTTGAGAATGGCGGTGGAGTGTTGAAGCTGGAAGAGAAGAATGGCAAAATGGGTGATGTTGATGAGGTTGGCAGGGGGGCAGCTGATCAAGATCATGTGAATCCTGTAAATAACGGCAAACATTTCAAGGCTTCTAAGCTTAAAAGGAAGAAAAGATCAGATGACTTGAAGGAAAATATAAATGGTGAATCCAATTCAGGTAGAGATGTGAAGGAAGAGGACGGCCAGGATATGATCTCAATTGAGAAAAATGGCGAGTCTTCCCCCAAGATTTCCCTTACTGGCCATTCAGCTGAAAATGCTGATGATCACCCTTCAAATGGCTCTCTTAGGAAGCGAAGCAGAAAAAGGAAGAACAAGGTATCAGATGTGACAAGTCCATCAAAGGAGGCTGAGCCTTCAGGTGAAAAATCTGTCAAGATTGTTGATAAGGTTGTGCGGGAGGATGAAGAAGATAATCTAGAAGAGAATGCTGCAAGAATGCTATCGTCACGATTTGATCCTAGCTTTACTGGATACTTGTCGAAGAAGAAAGTCTCATCTCTACCGCCTACCAATGGCTTGAATCATCCATTGTCCTCTAGTAAAGAATTTGTAGCTCGGGGAGGAAGCTATGCCTCTGCTTCAGATTCTGCTTCTGGTGATGGTGCTGTTAGAGTTTTGCGACCGAGAAAGCAGTTCAAAGAGAAGAGTGGTGTTAGGAAGAGACGACATTTTTATGATATTATTTCTGGTGAATTGGATGCACACTGGGTATTAAATAGGAGAATCAAAGTATTTTGGCCATTGGACGAAAGTTGGTATTATGGCCTTGTTAGTGATTATGACAATGAGAGAAAGCTTCATCATGTCAAGTATGATGACCGTGACGAGGAGTGGATCAATCTTCAGAATGAGAGGTTCAAACTCTTACTGTTCCCTAGTGAAGCACCAGGCAGAAACCACCGAACAAGATCCTTGTCAAGGAGGAAACACACCATTGTAAGTGAAAGTAAGTCGAATCACAGTAAAGATAGCAAGAGGAAAATGAGAGCGGAAGTTGATAGCTTGGTTGGTAATCATATAGATTCAGAGCCCATCATCTCGTTGTTGGCTCGTTCATCTCGAAGAGTGAAATCTTCTCCAGTTTGTGCTACAGAGAAGGAGAACAAGTCCTGTGAACACCCCAGTTGTGGGGAATCTTTGACTAGGGATACTACAGTTGGTTGTGACTGCAAGGACGGAGAGTCTCTGAGTGCCGGAACAGCCAGAAAGTCCTTTAGTTCTACTCTTCCAGATGAACCAGCCACGTCTAGGAGTGAGTTATGTGCCACAGGGAGTCCTTTGTGTAACAACGAGAGAAAGCCTCCAATTGTCTACTCCAGGAGGCGGGTTCGTAAGAGAAGTTTTTGGGCGTGTCATGATTCTAAAGTCAATCGCATGAATACTGGTGTTCTTGCTCCTGATAATTATGCTAGGCCTTTATATTCTGAAGTGGCGTTTGACAAGTTGGTGCCTGTGGATTCACTGTGGTCAATTGATAGTACTGGAATTTTGAAATTGAATTTCGCAATTATACTGTCAAGAAATTTCACATTTAAGTTGCGTTGCCCAGTACCAGCTTTCCGGAGTCGCTCGTTCAGTAAGTTGAGCATCTCTTTGTCCCATGCTATATTGCTACTTCAGTATGGGCAACTGATGACTATGTTGCCAAGGGTTCAACTGGAGATGCTTATTGTAGATAATGTAGTGGGATTGAGGTTTCTACTTTTTGAAGGATGCTTGAAGCAAGCTGTGGCATTTGTTCTTGTGGTCCTGAACATATTTGGTAAACCTGATGAACCTGGGAAGTCTATTCACTTAGAGTTGCCAGTGACTTCAATTAGATTCAAGTTCTCGTGTACTAGTTATATTGGGAAACAGCTTGCATTTCTGTTTCATAAATTCTCCGAGCTTGAAAATTCTAGTTGGCTACTCCTGGAGCGTAAAATAAACAAGCATTGTCTACTTTCTCGGCAACTGCCTCTGTCGCAATGTACTTATGCCAACATTAAGGATCTGCAAAATGGTAGACATGGGCTACTTGCTTCTGTTTTGAACGGCACCAGAACAATTAAGGTATGTTTGCGGTCTCTTTTTCTGTTATTGCACTGTGATCAGAAATTTGGTCTCTATTCTACCTTGTTCTTTCAGATATATGGTACTTGCCATGAGCTGATAAAATGGGGAGTTGCAGTTTCATTGGCATAGGTTGCAAAGCAAGTTGTTTGTCCAATTTCTCATTCTCTTTATTTCATTGACAGGGATCCAGCAGGAGGGCCAGGCAGCAGATTAGTTTCACGAGTGTTCCTAGAAAGCCGAGACACGGCAAAGCTAGTCACTATGTCGACCCTGAGAGGGACCAAAGATTTATTCCTCCAATGTCTCTCTCCTTTACTGCTGCACCTACCTTTTTTCCAGGACTTCATCGTAGGCTGCTTATCGAGCACACTCTGACTCGCATCAGATTTCAAGATCATTACTCGGAGGGGGATCCTGAAATGAGTGGCAGGTTGCTAGTGGAGGACCAGTCTTGCGTGGGAGAGTGCTCAATTATAACTCCTGAAAGCAATTCTCGTAAGGTACTCAAGGCTGTGTCAAGGGACATGGGTTCTGATGAAGTCTCTATATCTCATTCTAGGGATGCAATGAATTCCCTTTTGGAGTCCAACAGTGGTACAAATGTTCTTGGATCTTCTTCTGTCGTTGAGGAGACTGTGAACACGGGGAATGATGCAGACTACGAGCTACCGTCTCAGCCTTTGGATTCTGCACAACAGAAAATCTTGTGCCTGTCATCTGCTGGAGATGAAGCCAAGTTCCATGCAGAATCTCCTTCACCTTCTCTTCATAATGGAATCACAGTTGAAATCCCTTCTGATAAATTTGATAAAGATGTTGATGGTGTTTCACATGTGCAACAATCTTGTGGCGATTTGTCATGGAATTTGAACAGTGGTGTTATTCCCAGCCCAAACCCTACCGCACGTAGAAGTACATGGCATCGAAATAGAAGCAGTTCAGCTTCTTTTGGAGGCTTTGCGCATGGATGGTCAGAAGGAAAGTCCGATTTTCTTCACAGTAACTTTGGTAATGGACCAAAGAAGTCACGTACACAGGTGAATTATGCTTTTCCTTCGGGCGGTTTTGATCTTAGCTCCAGAGGTAAAGGTCATCAGCACAAAATGCATCCACATAAGCGAATTAGGACTTCAAACGAGAGGAGGTCTTCTGATACTTCGAGGGCCCCTGAAAAGAACCTAGATTCGTTGTCTTGCGATGTAAACCTTTTGCTAACTGTTGGTGATAAAGGTTGGAGAGAGAGTGGTGTACAGGTTGTGCTGGAACTTTTTGAACACAGTGAGTGGAGGCTTGCTGTGAAACTCTCCGGCACCACAAAGTATTCATACAAGCCACATCAATTCCTGCAGCTTGGTTCGACAAACCGGTTTACACATGCTATGATGTGGAAAGGAGGGAAAGAATGGATATTGGAGTTTCCTGACAGGAGCCAGTGGGCTCTTTTCAAAGAGATGCACGAAGAGTGTTATGATCGGAATGTACGTGCGGCATTGGTGAAAAATATTCCAATTCCTGGTGTTCGATTGATAGAGGAAAATGAGAGTCATGTAGCAGAAGCACCATTTCTGAGAACCTCGAAGTACTTTTGTCAGGAGGAAACTGATGTTGAGATGGCTTTGAATCCATCCAGAGTGCTGTATGACATTGATAGTGATGATGAGCGTTGGATGTCAGAAACGTGTAGTGCCCTAGCAGTTCAAAATGACAGTTCCATGGAGATTTCCAAAGATATTGTTGAGAAAATCATGGACACATGTGAGAAAGCTGCATATTCTCGGCAATGTGTCCATTTTAGTGCTGAAGAAGTAAATGATCTCATGGGTGGTGTAGCGTCTATTGAAGTAATCAGGATGGTTTTTCAGTATTGGCACCAGAAGAGAAGTAGGAAGGGAATGCCACTGATTCGGCACCTTGAGGTAGCTGCTGAATATTTTCTGCTTGCTTTCTTCCTTGAGATGCCAATGATATAGTTTGGTGGTGCTTGATGATACAAAATGAATGCTGTCTTGCATGTCTTTTGTTTCGGTTATTTCTTGGGTCGTGACTAGGAAATTGATGTTGCGGGGTTCTGATGTTCCTAGGGTTGCTGTTTAAATTAGGTGAATGATGTAGGCAAAATCCAAATGATGAATTAATGTTCCAGTTGCGTGTATGAGGCTAGTGGGCTGTCAGTTACATCCCTGAGGTCAATATTAGTTTCCTCAGTTGAACTAGTGTTTTGATTTTGCATAACGTGATTCATCAGGTTCTCTCTTATGAATGAGCAACTTGTCCTTGCATATATGCTTCAAATGGTTCTGTTGAACATTTCCTTGTCTATTTCCCTTCATTTTGGTCTCAGTTTATCTTGTGTGGTACGGTGGTTGCCTTTGTATGCTTCTGGAATAGACCCCACTATTCTTTTCAGATTTAACATCACCAATACATACTCTCTGGCTTTCTATACGGTCTCTATTTCTTCTTGTTTGTCTTAAAAATCTTTCTTTGAGTGGAATCAAATTTTGTTGGGGGCAGCTCCTCTTATCTTATACACTTGCTGACGCGTTTACTGTGATCTAGTAGAAGCATCTGCTCTCATTATACGTGCGCGCTGAAGTGTCTGTTATATTTTGTTCCATTACTGCTATGTATGTTCTTAATAGAACATAAGGACCACATTCTTCTCAGAGTTGTCCTGCGATATTTCTAAGATCACGCAACTTCATGCAGATTCACGTTTCTTTATCTAAGACTTAGATATACAACATAAATGGCATTGTTGCCTAATTTTAAATGGAAAATGTCGGGTTTTGTTCAGCCACCACGTTGGGAAAGATATCAACAAGAAGTGAAAGAGTGGGAGCAAGCGAAGGCAAAAAATGTCCCTTCAAATGGTTGCTCTAAGAAGGTTGGTCAATGCGAGAAGCCACCAATGTTTGCATTTTGCCTGAAACCACGAGGTTTGGATCTACCCAACCGAGGGTCAAAACATAGGTCACACAAGAAATTCTCAGTTTCTGGGCAAAGCAATACCTTTTCCGTCTATCACGACGGTTTTCATGCTTACGGTAAGCTTTTCACTTTTTTATTCTTCTGCTGTATATTAGAGGCGGCAAAGGTGTTGTTTCGTATTTCATTGGGATCAATGACATTCACTTGAAAATTTGATGTGGTTTGGTGGGTATTTCCATCATTTTGCTAAAGTCCAATGCTTCTTCTGGGTAAAGTTTTATAACTTTGAGTACGAAAGTTTCAAAATGGCAGAGCTGGATTAGTTTTTTGGTAGCAGAAGGATGGGATACTTAATTTACCTTTATCAGCCCTGAGATGGGATAGCGAAAGTTGTATTTAATTCCTGGCCCAGGTTGTAAAATTCTGAAGTTTATGTACTTCTATGCAAGTCTCAAATCCCTTACACTTATTATAAATTTAGGTGCAGAACTTCATTTAGTATACGAAAAGCTTGGTAACTAAAATGCAAAGCACCAAAACTTTAGGTCTTTAATAATTTTGCAGGCGAATCCTACCCGTTCACCCACCAACCTAATTGATTTTGAGTCAATGGGTTTGGGTTAGATATGTTTTAAGTGGATGGGTTTGTTATTTCCACACATATCTAAGTCCTTGTCTTGTCCTTGACCTGTATTAATGGTTTTGTTGTAGCAGGCAGACGAATGAACGGCTTTGCATCTGGCGACGAGAGGGTTTCACATTTAGGACACAATTACGACTCCATGGACGATTCTCCATTACCTCAGAGATCACCAAGTTTTTTCTCACCAAGGGAAGCAGATGCAGGCAGCTCGGGCTACTTTTACCCCAATCCTCATAGATACCACCACTTGCAGAAGAAATTTCAGAGAAGCAAATCGAACAAAGTGGTGGGGACTTCAACTCTATCCCCTATGGGACCTCAGATGGTACCTTCATTCAATCAGCGCATGTTTATGAAAAGGAATACCAGCTTTCATCACTGGCCGCACGAACGACAACCTGATCCCCATCTAGACTGGTCTCTTCAGCACATGCCTGACCAATTGGAAGGCTCGGATCTTGAAGAATTGCGAACTCGTGATGCATCTAGTGCAGCTCAACATGCTCTCAAGGTGGCCAAGTTCAAAAGAGAGAAAGCTCAGAGACTACTCTGCAGGGCTGATTTAGCTATCCACAAGGCTGTTGTTTCCCTGATGACAGCCGAAGCTATTAAGGCAGCTTCCTCAGAGGATGCAGACGATGACGACCTATGATATACGAGGTTTGGAATTCTTTCTTTGGGAACTTTGGCAGCTAGAGGGTTGCCTGTGGAGTGTGAACTCTGCATTTGGTTTTTGCATATAGCCCTGGTTAGAGAGGGGGACAATGGTGGTGGTGGTCTTGCACCGAGGTACGCGTTTGGCTACTCCCTTGGTGGTTTCGTGAACCCGGTTCGATGTGGCACTGATGATCCATCCTGGACGTGACTGGTGAGGGGTGTTGCTGGAATTTTGGGCCTGAATTTTCCTTTTGTACAGATTTTTTCACTTTTCCTCCCTCTTTACTTTTTAGCCTTCTTCAGGGTTCTCTGTTTCTTCTTCTCCTTCTTTAGCCTTGATGCCTGAGATAGCAGCTTTAGCCGAAATAACACAACACTCCTTGGTATGGTAGTAGAGAAGGAGAGGGGGGGTAAGAAAAAAGGTTTGAGAAGAGTTGCTTGGTAGATAGATTGAAATGCTGCTGCAGGTTTCGGGGAGCGTTTGTTCATTCGAAAAAAGAAAAAAGAAAAAAAAATCATTTTTAGGGTTAGGGATATGTACCAATGGTGAAGAACATATCTCTGGAAATAGGGGCAGGAAAAAAGGGGGAACAAGTTGTGTAAGTAAATTATCCTTTTTTTCTTCTTTGTTCTTTCTAATTTTTCATAGAGGTGAAATTTGGAGGCAAATGAAAAGAGATCCTATTGTTGATGTCTGATGATGTCCCTAGCCTTGCTTTTCGTTTCCATGGCTCTGCCTTTGTACAGTTGCTGAATTTCTTGATCCAACGGCACTGGCATTTGATGAATGTATCCTCACTGATACTGAAAAATGAAAGATGTTCCCATTGAGATGGATTGTTTTTGCTGGTTGCGAGCTATCGCGATGCTGTACTTGCCATTGCGGTCCGAGGATTGATAGAAGCAGCAGAGAGATGGATTGTGTTGATTTCGAATTGGTTTGATTGTTTGTCAACCAGGAAAGAAGTCAGCTTGTTTCATTAAAAATCCCTTTAAATTGCACATAGAAAAGTTTGAAACAAATGCTAAATGGTTAGTCTGCAGGCTTAGATTTCTTTGTTTTTTTTATAAGGGCGATATAAGTTTTTTGTTTGTAATAAATATAGTATTTAAATGGTTAGTCGAACGAATCTTTTCAAATTCGAATGTCAAGTTGCTCGTGAGCGACTTGACTCATTTGCAGCCCTACCCACCCTAACTTCAAATTCTAGCTCCCTCTTGTCATGGGACCATGCCACTCTTAATTTCTATATTGAAAACTTTCAGCTGCATTGAAGCCCAAAATAAAAATTCATACCTTTTCTTCTCAAATATACTTGTATGATTCATTGATTCTGTCTTTGGAAACCAATCTCTTTCACCTCTATATTTTACATACAAGATATTATATATTATTGTGTTATCTCGATTACCGAGCTGAAAGTGAAAATAGAGGGTAGTACAATACGATCTAATTCGATAATATAGGAACAGATAAATAGAAATTACTATGCAAAAGGAAAAATATTGTAACATTCGAATTTTTTTGCTAACAAAAATATTGTTAATTTTGGGTTTACATTGTATGATTTTGTTTTTTGGCTGCATCATTGTTACCTACTGAGATGCAACCAATTTTTGCACCGCTCTACATTAAACATATTTAACATTAGAATTTTTATAAAACTTCTCATCTTCACCCAAAAATGCATCTCATCAATTAAATTAAATTATTTCTATGCTAATAAACCATGAATATGTTCTATGCTGAATCGATGTCAAATTTGCCTATACTATTTAGCATTTACATAATTGATCCTTCTCTCGTAGCCTAGAGGCAGAAACAACTCAAAACAAAAAAGAAAGGTAGCGACCTCTAACTAACCGTTGACACCCGTAAATATTTCTCTCCCCAAATTTCTCCCTCTCTCTTGCAGTCTTGGATTACCATCTCCCATTCCATTTCCGCCCATGGCGGACTCTAAACCCTCGATTCCTGTCAAATCCTTTCACCTTCCCGTCTCCCCTCATTCTCAATTTGGAGGGTTTTTCTGCATAATCTATTTCCTGTCTTTCAAAGTCAGGTTTGCTTCTTCCAATTTCTTAGAACAACAACAAACGTCAATGGGTGTTTCTCTTTTGTTCCTAAGGAACCCTAAAAGTTGATATTTTCATTGGCTTGTTCTTTCAAACAGATAGACGGAGGCACGACTTGCTTATTCCAATGGTGAAGAAAGAGAAGGAAGAGGACAAAATTGAGAAGATCATTCGTGGTCTTCTTAAGCTTCCCGAGAATCGGAGATGCATCAATTGCAACAGCTTGGTATGTTCAGGAAAAAAACTGCTCCTTTTTTGAAACCCAGTTGTTGAATGAAGTTTAGTTTTGCATTAGGGTAATGAAGTTGGCTGTGGATGATACACCATGCATTTTGGGTACTCTTAAAAGTCCGTGTTACGGGCACGAATTGGTTTTAACATGGTATCAGGCCTTTGATAATCGAGGATGATTTGTCCTGTTAATATGATCTTTGTTAAAAATGTCAATGGATTAGGGGCAAATATTAGTTTGGACTTTGGTATCCAGAGGTTAGCTAGATTAAGATTTGGGGTATTCATTGCAAATTGCATCATTGTATTATTGATTATATGTTTGAGGCTTCCTAATGCATGACCCAATTGAAATTGGCATTGATATCAATATCTTCTGAAGGAGTGGTTTACTACGTTACATGTCTTTTTTAGCAGGAGGGCACCCTGTTTGTACCATTTCTTGCATTGTGTACTAGCCAACCAACAATTCATCCAATCTTTTAACTTTGTGTAATTATGCTTCTCTTCTTACAGGGGCCACAATATGTATGCACAACCTTCTTGACGTTCGTTTGCACAAATTGCAGTGGCGTGCAGTAAGTCTTAGAGTTTGTTTTATTTATCCTATCCTATGTTCCTATATTTGCACAAAATTTTCCAAATTGCTGGAATTTCAGAAAAATGTGGTCAAAGATTATTTCTCATTCTGGTTCTGAGTAAGGGACAATAATTTTACACTCTATAAATTCCAGTCGGGAATTCACTCATCGTGTCAAATCAGTGTCCATGGCGAAATTTTCATATGAAGAAGTCAATGCTCTTCAGACAGGGGGAAATGAGGTCTGCTTATTCTGGATTAACAGGCTTTTGCAACATTTGCCAGAACATTATAGTCCTAGTCTAACTTAAATGTGTTCTCTTTTGTAGAGGGCAAGGCAAATTTATTTTAAATATTGGGATGAACATCGTAACTCTTATCCTGATGGCAGGTGGATATGACTATTTTATATTGAATAATCGGAAACTTCAGTAATTCTGTGTTGTCTAATTCTTGTGTTTCACTTTCAGCGACCTTCACAAACTCAGGGATTTCATCAAGCATGTTTATGTTGAAAGAAAATATACTGGGGAAAGAAGTAATGAGAAGCTTAGAAGGCTGAGAGTGGTAAATCCACCAACATAATACTGAAATACATATCTATTGGTCTTTTTGAGCTTTCTTGTTCGTCAAGCAACATGAAGACCTCTTCTTTTGAATTCCTCCCATTCTGATGTAGGGTGATAACGATGAGCGCTATGACGGAAGGAAAGGTGGTGGTATTTATTATGGGAGAAGTCCAAGTTACGCGATAGCCAGAAGCTCGGGTCTTGGGATGACCAGGAGTCCTAGTTATGAGGTAACTAGAAGTCCTAGCTATGAGGTGACCAGAAGCCCGAGTTTCCAAGACAAGAGATATGTTCGTGACAGATATGGTTCTAGTAGATTGAGTGCTGACAGAAGCTTCAAATATTATTACGACGAAATGAGAAGTCCTAGCTATATCCCAGAAAGTTCAAAATATGGCAGAGACTTTAAGAAATCCCCTGTTCGCTTTGAGGTTGTTGATGATAGGTTTCGAGACAATGAAAGTAGAAGTGGCCAACCATCAGATGGCGGTAGGTTATCACGCAAAGAATCCAGATCTGAGTGTCGAAGCAGGTCACCTGTCTCTAAGAAAACCATTGATGGGTCTAAATCAGTAGTGTTACCTCCTGCTAAAAATGTCCTAGCGGTACAAGTAGCCAAGCAGTCTGAGATAAGTGAAGGGAAGGAAGCTGATGAGGTTAGCAAATTTAACTTCTTTATTAGTAGTAAGGAAACTTTTCTTCCACATTTCTAACACCTTGTTTGAGAGCTGGCAATATTTTGTTTGAGAAATACATACATGCAGCTTACATGATTTTGTAATTCTGCAGATTGTCACACCTTCTTCCAGCAAGGCGCCAACTGATACTACTATTGCAGAAGAGAAAATTCAAAATTTAGAAAGTCTGATTGACTTAAATAATGATTCCAAGCCCTCCCAGCCTGTGGAACAACCACCTCTGGCCACAGTACAACATCCTTCTGGTGACAACTCAACTGATTCCTCCACGAAGAAAGAACCTTTAGCACCAAAGCCGAACACTGTCGAATTTTTACTCTTTGAGTTGTCTTTTCCCCCGGTTGCATCATCTGATGCTAATGTTTCTGAAGCGAGTAACACTCATCCATCGATTGTATCAGAAGTCAATACTGCTGTGGGTGGTGCTTCTTCGGATCGAAGTACCTCCATAGGGGTATCAACTACATGTGATCATCCTGGATCTTCAATGCTGGAATCTTCCCGGAACTTGCCTGCAGATAATGTTTCAGCGGCCAAGTCTTTGGATCAAACATTACAGGCACCTTGTGACGGATCTGAAAGATCTTCACCTGCAGAGCCCTACAGGCAGTCACTCTCATTGTTTGAGGCCTTCGATGCTTCTCCATTTCCACCAACTGTTAATTTGTCTGTGCAACCTTCCAATGGAGGTGGCACATCAGAAGCTACATCTGACTCTTTTCACGAATCCTCTTCTAAAACTCACAACAGTGACAAGGTTAAGCAACAAGAAAAACTACACATGAATCACATGATACCTTCTGTAGTTGTTTGCTCTATTGGACAAGGCCAGACAACTACTGCATCTGTTGGAGATACAAACAACCAGGTTAGATTAGCATTCTTTTCTTCTCAGAAAGAAGTCTATAGTCGAGTTGATAAAAGTTATAGGGTGATGAACATAAAAAACATATTTGTGGTCTAGTTTGTGCTTATTATGTCTTTCCACAGCCATCTACTTCCACAGAAACATGTAATGAGCAAGGACCTTCAGATGCTTCAGCTTCACAACAAATCTCCCAACTAGCTAAAGAATCTAACTCTGGGGTTCAGAAACCATCTACCACTGCTTTAGAAACAAAGTCTAGTGGGAGGCAGGAACTTCCTGTGGTAAACAATAGCCACAACCTTATATTTGCATTGATTGTTTGATAAAATTATTCAGACTTGTAATGGTTACATCTCCTTATTTTTTCCACAGGACCTGTTTGCATCAAGCTTCATGCCAACACCAGGACCTTCATCAAGTTGGCAGTATGGTAGTAGTCCATATGACATGGGCTTTGGCACGCAATATTATCACAATCCAATGGTAACCTCCGGCAACCAAAAAAAATCTATCTTAACTAGTTCAACCTTCTTATCTTGATGTTATTGGGCAGCAAGTCATGGCATACCCCAACACCATGAAGTCAACAAACCCATTTGATGACAACTCTCAGAGACAAACACACCCGGTATGCGGAAAATAAAGCCTTCTTTCAGGGTATTTTCTGAGGATTGTTTACCTTGAAAAATTGGGGAGTGTAGCAGCACTTAATTGATGACTTGTTATGTTTCTCGTTCTAGTATCCTACCATGGGGAACGTTAGAGGTGCACCACCTTCTAATGTGCCACATCGTCCCAACTTGTTTCCTAGCTCCAGCATGGGTCACATTTCTTCAGCTATGATCCCAGAGGCTTCTCAAATCCCTTCCCAATCTTTCCCATTTCAATCGACGATCTCTTCTGGTAAATCCTCTAATCTTCACATGCCCATATTTTTTATTTTATCCAAAGTCACCTACATGACTGTAAATGCTTCATTCATTTCTCTCAATATTTCAGGCTCATACATGGAGCACCAACCGCATATGAATGTGTCACATTCTAGGTTAGAATTTTGCTCCTCAACTCTTCTTAGTTGTCATCTTTGGTTCCATAACTCATACGTGGATTCTTAGGCCCAAAGAAAGTTTACATGGGAAGAAATTAATGTGAGAAATTTGTGTCATTTCTATGCATATCATTTGCAGGCAGCAAGGAGGTAGCTTTGGCAGTGGTGAGGACCCTTTTGCTTCATTAAATATGGTTGAGCAACAACGACCTGGTGGAGGAAACTCCTTCCATGTCCGCCAGAACTCACTCCCGTCAAGGGGAGGAAACCCGTTTGGATAGAACATGACACTCTCTTATAAGCTCGAATTACAAAATGGACACAGAGTACCTGACATTTCTGATTGACAGTATTTCATTACATGGCCAATCGAAATTCCAGCCTAAGGTAACATCTTAGAATTCGATTGTATTTCTTCATGTCTTTTTGTCCTCACATGATTTGATTGAGGAGCAACCAACCAATGTTGCCAACATAGCATGACTAGCTAGGCACCTCAGAATGCATACTAAGCCTTTTACTATGATTGCGTGTGACACAAGTCAGGCAGGAGTTGAGCAAGGTTCTCTTTGTTAGCTTCAAGCTTTTGTATATTGTACATCCTATGTGATACTGTATATTCTACTCTACTAGTAATTGAAAATGAAAAAAATTCAAAGAGTTCAAATTGGGTAAACATTCATGCAAATCAAAGTAATTTCTCGTCATCCATTTCAATTCACTACCTTAACAACAACGTCTCTTAAGACCACAAACCAACTTGATCACCATCATCACCACCTTGTCAGGCTTCAGCAGCAAATGCACCACAATCCCACACAGAAAACCTAGAGCCGCGCTCGATCCCACGAGCGAGACAGCACTGCACACAAGCATAGCAAAAGCATCCTCCTTCGAGTTCACGTCCCTCGAAGCCATGGCGAGCTCGATCCCGGCAAACAACAACAAAACCCCCAAAACCCCAACTGGAAACTCCCTCAGTACTACCACAAGTGAGCTCCCCAACGCCAACCCTAAACCCAATTTCACCACCCCCAAAATCACAACACAAGTGCCACTCCTCCCTCCAAACTTGTACTGCCCAGCTAACCCTCCAGCTCCATGGCAACACGGCATTGCCCCGAACCAGCACCCCACCAAGTTCATCGCCCCAACTGTCACCGATACCGAAGTTGCAGACAGTCTCTTCCCTGCGGGGAATAGATCGTTGGACAGCTTGCACACCGCGATCACAGAGTTCAACACAGATAACGGCAGCTGAGGGATCGTCCCCTTCACGAACCCGGTCTTCCACGCTTGTTTCGAGATCTTCACCACCTCCATTCGAGATGGCCCGAATCGTATCTCGTAAACCATCTTCGGCTTCCTTATGAATGCAAACACCACTCCCAAACTAAACACCAGAAACGCCGAAGGCAATGAAGCAATCGCCTTCCTCACAGCTCTCTCCCTCTCATCACCATTCTCCACCTCCATTATAATCACCTCCCCTGCCTCTTCCCCTGCATCTTCCCCTGCCTCACCACAACCACTGACGATCACAATAAAGCAAGCACAGAAAATGGACAGTATCAACCCATCAAGCCCCAACCAACCTCTCTTCTCCCCGTTTCCATAATTGGGCTTGGAGAAATCCTGCTCCTTTCTGACGTACTCCACTGCATTGAGCGCAAAGGAAAGCCCCTGAGAGAGCTGAATCCCTCTCACCACACAACGAGGGATGAGCTTGTATATCAAATTCATGAGCCCTGTTGCTCCGAGGAGCAACATGGCTCCCGCGGTGCAAATCCCTGCAGCCATCATCTCCGGCACCCCAAACACCTCCTCCGACGGCGTGCCGTTACTGGCTATGGACAGGGCGGCTATGGATTTCATGGGCTCTACGGGCATCGGGACGCCGTAAATTGCCCCCGTTACGACGTTGTAGAGGCCCGTGAAGACCAGCGTGGTGCCGAGGTTGAGGTCGCGGGAGAGGGTTAAGGCGAGGATGATGGGGATGTATGTGCCCAAGTCTCCCATGGCGCCATTGAGCTCTGCCCATATGGATTGATAGGCCAAGTTTTGCCTTAGTTTGTGGAGGATGGTGGTGGTGTTGGGTCTTTTGTTGTGTGGGATCGTTGTTTTGGGTAGAACGGAGGTGGGTTTGTGTGGTGATGAGGACTCCATTGTTGCTGCAATGGAGTTTGGAAGAGCAAGCTAGCTAGCTAGCTAGAGCGTTACTTTTGATTCGGTTTGAGATGTGTATGACGACGTTATACGTTAGAGACTCTCAGGGGTTGTTATGTTACGTTGTTGATACGTGAAATCTAGGATCACGTTTGGTTGTTAAGATATTAGGATAAGTTTGATTGAGTTCTGCTAAATAATATTATTTTGTTTTAAAATTATAAAAATGAAAGAAAAGCTTGTTTTCTAAATAAATAAAAAAACAATAGTAAAGATAATCTTGTATTTTTAAAGTAGTTTTTGTCTTTTATTTTTATACTACCAAAAAATACTTTTCGGCTTTTGACAAAAGCCGAACTTATAGAAATGTTTGGTCTAACTTCAGCTTTTGAAGTATAAAAACACATCCACAAGTCGAGCCAAACATAACTGACATTTGTTCTGACGAGGTGGACCGAAAGAAAAAGAAAAGAAATGGTTGATATGTATCAGTATTGTATTTGATAATTTCGACAACTTTGAATGACCCTCATTTATTTATTCTGAATTTCTGTCGATAAACTTATGTGGCTTTATTTATTACACTCCCTGTTTTACAGGTGATTAAATGATGCATATAGGTTAATTATTATTTCCAACTAAATCGATTTTAGTGTATAAGATTAAGAGAATCAGGGCCTAAATTTTAATTTTTAAGGGTTAAAATTATACTATCATGTTTAACATTATGGTCAATTCAAAGTTTAAATAACAAGTTCTTCCTTATTCGTCCATTCAATGTACACTAAAACTTCCCACATTTATATATTTGTACATGGCTAAATTACACATACATTTGGTCACTCAAATTATACAAATCTTTCACGTTTGCCTGTGAAACTTTACACACGAGAGTGAGGCAGCGCCACTAGGGCAAATGGGTTGCGGAGATCAGGCTGCGCAAGAACTGAACCAGGCTCTGGTTGGGTACCTTCGACACCGCTGAAGAAGCTGCTCGGGCTTAAGATGAGGCAGCTTACAAGCTGGGAGGCGACTTTGCCCGACTCAATTTCCACGACCTCTGCCATCAGTGATACAATTCTCTCTCTCCCTCTGTTTTTGCTGGACTTGATTGAAACGACTGTTTCGAGATCGTTGTTGGGAATCGGACACTGAGCTCGACTGCGGCTTCGCCCCAGAGGTCGGCGAGCTTGGATATGAGGTCGATGAAGGAGACAATGGTGTAGTCGACGTTGTTGACGGAGAGGACCTCGGTGACCTAGTCGTTGAGCCGACATATTGTAGCTTGGTGTCTCCGTGATGGGGTGGGAGGATCCGACTGTGGTACCTGAAGAGGAACTTGACCGACGCCATTGTTGTTGTTTTGGCGAAATTTGCTCCAAGTAGTGGGATTTTGCAGTAAAGAAGGAAGTTCACGGTGGCCGCTGCAGCCACTCCGAAGTCAACAGTCTGTTTGCCATGTCATCATAAAACTGATGGAGTTAACAGAGTTTGACGGAAACTAACGACTGGTGGCTAAAGTGAAATGATTCATAAAGTTAATAGCGAATAAAAAATAATAATTCAGGGGTGATGAAAATTTTATGTAATTTGAGTGTTGCAACATATAATTTAGCCATTTGTACATATACGTTTTCAATAATTCGATGAGAATACTTCAAGTAACAATGGGACGAAGAAGTAGCCATTAATTAATGGAAGAGAATAAAGATGCCGATATTCCATAGTAAGCAAATAGAGAGGTAGAGATTGTAGCACAGGTTATGGTGGCCCCTCGTGCCCTCCAAAGGGGGAGAAGGGAGAATACTGCAACAGATCCAGGACCAGGAGTGTCAAACAAACAGCTCAGTTCTTCCCCAGCTCTCACCTTGAAAATGGCCGTGGACTTTGCGTAACTCACAAACTCTAATATATTCTCAAAAATGATCTTCTTCTTAATTACCTTTTGGCCATTTCTCTAAACTATATATGTCAGAGCCCAATTAGACTCACTTCACTCAATTTCTTCAAAAACACAGTACAGTCCATCATTGTCTGCAGCACCGCATGCATCAATGGAGTCTCTGCAGAACAGCGCGGACCATCACACGTCTATCCCTATACCCAACTCACCGCCGACCCACCAAAACCCAACCAACCACCCGGCACCACCGCCCACAACCACAATCCTCCGAACCCTGAAGAACAATTTGGCAATCCGCTCCAAATGGGCCGAGCTCAACGGCGCCATGGGCGACCTCGGCACCTACATCCCGATCGTCCTCGCCTTAACCCTCTCCCAGGACCTCAACCTCGGCACGACCCTAATCTTCACCGGAATCTACAACATCATCACCGGCGCCATCTACGGCGTCCCCATGCCCGTCCAGCCCATGAAATCCATCGCCGCGGTCGCAATCTCGTCCCCCGATTTCGGCGTCCCGGAGATCATGGCCGCCGGGATCTGCACCGGAGGCGCCCTGATGGTCCTGGGAGTCACGGGACTGATGCAATTGATCTACAAACTAATCCCTCTCTCCGTCGTCAGAGGCATCCAGCTCTCCCAGGGCCTCGCCTTCGCGCTCACCGCCGTCAAGTACGTCCGCAAGGCCCAAAACTTCTCCAAGCCCAAATCTGATCTCGGAGGAAGGGAATGGGCCGGGCTCGACGGCCTGATTCTCGCAATCTCCTGCGCCTGCTTCATCGTGATCGTCAATGGCGCCGGGGAAACAGAGGAGGAGAGCGCGGAAGAACAGGGGAATTGTGAATCTGGAGAAAACAGATTTCTGAAAAGGGTTAGAAAAGTCATTTCTTCGTTACCTTCTGCGTTTCTGGTGTTTACGTTGGGACTGGTACTGGGCTTCATCAGAAAGCCCAAGATGGTCCACGAGATCAAGTTCGGCCCATCCCCGATCGAAATAGTCAAGATCTCGAGACGGGCCTGGAAAACAGGGTTTCTAAAGGGGACGATCCCGCAGCTGCCGTTATCGTTGCTGAACTCCGTGATCGCCGTCTGCAAGCTGTCCTCCGATCTCTTCCCGGGGAGGAAGGAGTTCACGGCGGGTTCTGTTTCCGTGACGGTCGGGGCGATGAACCTGGTTGGTTGCTGGTTCGGAGCGATGCCGTGCTGCCACGGAGCGGGAGGCCTGGCCGGGCAGTACAGGTTCGGAGGGCGGTCCGGTTCTTGCGTGGCGATTTTAGGGTTGGTTAAGTTGGGGTTGGGGTTGGTTTTGGGCGGTTCGCTCGTGGTTATACTGCGGGAGTTTCCGGTTGGGGTTTTGGGGGTTTTGTTGCTGTTTGCTGGGATTGAGCTGGCGATTGCTGCCAGAGATATGAGGTCGAAGGAGGATGCGTTTGTGATGCTGGTTGTTTGTTCGGTTTCGCTCGTCGGGTCGGGTGCGGCGGTTGGGTTCTTGTGTGGGGTTGTGGTTCATTTGCTGCTCAAGCTTAGGAAATTGGCGGCCTAGCTACTAGCCAGTTAGTGAAGTAGCAGCGAAGTGTACATAGGTGAGTACTGAACAGTGTTAGAAGTTCATGTTTAAGATGGATTAGAAATCTAGGTGGGGGCTTTGAAAAATAAATAATAAATCGTATCTTAACGATGTGATCAGTGGCGTAGCGAGACGTGAACTTGAGTGGTGTCCTGAATGACTGAGATATAACAGGAGTCAAGGTGAAGATACATCAGAAGTTTTAATATGTTGGATGAGATGATTCACTACGAGATCCTTAATCAAATTCAAAGCAATCATTTGAGTATTTTCAACTCATGTTTGTTACCAAGTAGGGTCCTAAGACCCCATTCCCATTGCCTTGGCTCCGCCACCGAACGTGATAATGGGTTAGACGATGGCTTATAGACGATGTGAAGTTTGTACTTGGCGGATTGGTGTTTCAAGAAGTTTGCCGAAAGAAGACTTTCTTTGCGTTTATTCGTTTATTTATGTTTCTAGGCATACTAACAGGGCTACCCATTGCGTGGGGAAAACGGCTCTTGCATCGATTGATCAGCAATTGGCTGATTATCGTTATTTACTTTTCAACTCGTTGTATTTCCCTATCTATTAACTATCTACCTAAGTAAAAAAAAAAAAAAAAAAAGACTTGTGAGTAGTGTCACCACTAAAGAAGCTACATAGTGGGTGTAAATAATTTCGATTAACATCTTATCAAGCTATGTGGATCAAATTTTGTTACCACAAAATGTAAGGTTTGCCAACATTCACACAATAGATAATATATAATCGTTTATGTAAATAATTTTTGGATTAAAATAATATAATAGTCAAATTGTGAAAAACAATATAATAATTAAATTGTTAAGTGTTAAATTTTCAACCAGTCAAACGTGCTCTAACATGGCCAATTATACTAAATGTGGATGTTGCATTTTGACTTGTCAACAAAAATAAGGAACCAAAACAATTTAATAAACAAACCTTTTATTTACTGCAAACTAATAACGAAACATTTTAAAATACGATTTAATAACCATTTTCCGTCAAAATTAACGTGAGAGACAACAAATCAATCCAGGTTCAAGTGTTTGCAACATCCCACATAAGCGTCAATGTATAGCGGATTGTTTTGGTTCTGAATTTTCCAGCTCCTATAGTCCTATTTCAGAACAATCAAATTGAATTCGTGCCGAATACCTTTCTCAATCCACTTCGTCTAACAAAGGTTAGATTACCATTAGCATGTGTTTCGTAATCAGTACCAAATTCAAGCTAAGAGTAACAAAAATAGAAGAGCGAACACAAAGGGCTGCAAAAGTAACGTGTATACAACAGTTTCTATACAGCAAACAACCAACTCTCAAGTCTCAATCCCTTATGTCAAAACAAAGCTTAGCTTCATCCCACGGACCATTGATCTCAAACTTGTACTCCTGGATTCTTATCAGCCAGCAAGGACAAACGACGCTGACGAAAACCAACAAACCCAACAACACTACAAACAGCAGCTTGTGAAGCGCATACACGAGGCTGAGCGTCAAGGCCATCACCCCACAGGAGAAGACGAGGTGAAGCACCAAAGAACACTTCTTGATACAGTAAGTGACGAATGGAGCAAACAGGAAGACTTGCATAGAGAACAGCATGACGGCAAAAACGTAAAGCCTCGACGGAAGGCGAGAGGCAATAAAAACTGAAGCAACCACAGAAGCATTTAAGCTCACACAACTGGTCAAGCTTGGAGCTGTGAATAAGGCTCCTCCTCCTGGAACCCCTATGGGACATCCTGAATAGTCATGGAGGAAGAGATGAAGTACAATAAGTGAAACTGTCACTGCCAAGATTGTGTCCGAGCTTATCGACCTAGTCAGGGTGTTGTATATAGGCGACAACACGTATAACCCCGTGGTGAAGAACCCAATGTTGAGGAGATAGTGGAAGAACAGACCGAGCGAACACATTTCTCTGGTTAGTAGCAGAACGGCGAAGCCTGAAACGAGAAGACCGACATCAAGAAGCAGCAAGGAATACTCGTCCAGTGTGGATTGGAGGGTGTAGGTCCATACCAAGATGACAAGGGAAACAATGCAGAGATACTGAGAGATGGAAACAGAGTCCAAGATCACCTTCGTTATGTCCCTTTTCACGACATTGGCATTCATCACCATATCTTCGAGAAACAACTCGTCGGTGTGATTGTCATCGAATCCAGGTTGCATTCCTCCATATGCCACCTTTCTCCACTTGGCGCGTGGAGGAGACAAGCTCTCATCGCTAATGCCTACGTCCATTTGGACCCTGGGTTTTCCAAGGACATGCCAGTGACCAAGAATCCACTACCAATCTTCTAATCTTTGGCCGACTCCAATGATTGAGAAAACCTAATGCAATCCATTTCACAACAAAACACTATCTACATTCAATCGATTCTAATTCAACAGGTAATCCCTCTTCAGGCAGCCGTTCGCCGGCAAACAAATCAGTCGAAACACGAACCCTAATAAATCGACAGAAAGAGAAGAGTGTCCTACTGGGAAATTGCTGATCCTCCGAACAAGAGAGTGAACTTGCTTTCCTTCGAACCAACTCGACGCCGCCGGTTAGGTCACGATCCGTAGTCCTTTACGCCTTCTCCGATCGTTTTCTGAAATCGCCAGCCAGCAGAGAAGAACAAAGAACAAATGGCCAGCTAGAATGGAAGAACGAAGAACAAAGGGAAAAGCCCATTCTGAGGTACTCTGAGAATAAGCTGGTAAAGCCCGGCCCGTGTTTTTTTTTTTTTTTTTTTTTTTTTCGCAAAGTCAGTTGTTATAAAATCAATCATACAGAGAAAATAAAAAGAGCGCGAGAGTCGACTAATAGTCGAACTCCCGATGAGAGGGCCTTTTATGCCACATGATGGGCAGCCCTATTGAGACAGTGGAGAACAAGACAGTAAGAAACCCAACTAAAGAGAAAAGCCAAGCTCTGAGCCTCCTGCAAGATAGTTCCATCCTGATCATGAGCCAAAACACTTGTCCGAGGAAGTCTCTTCGATATCGGGAGCTCTTCTGCGTGCCCCTACAAAAAACAAACAAAACACACAAGCGTCCCCACTGTAGGACAACTAAGCTCCACCAAATGGACTTAAACAAGCCATTAAGGCTTAGTCGGATACACCGAATTCAAAACTATGTCAAACTAATATTTTTTTTTTAGGAATAGCTAAAGAAAAGAAATAAAATAAAACAGACGAAATTGACAAATAAAATGAAAAAAGGGAGGGTACGTAACAAAAGAAAACAAATAAAAATTACTAATAAATAATGAAGTAAATGAATAGCAGTTAATTAAAAAGATAAAGAAAATAAAAAATGACTAAATTGCAGTTAGGTAAAAAAATGGAAACTGAGGAGTTTGTTTGAGTTACTTACCTGGAGCAGTTAAATGTAATTAATTAAAAAATACCGTTACTAATTATTGCAGCAGACTCACAAGACCCGACCGTTCAGTTACCCTAGGTAACCGCCGTCTGACTTCTCTTCCATGCGCCGATGTAACCCTAGACCCCGGCGAAACTGATCGTGCGACTCCTCCTCTTCATCTCCGCCAGCACAGACACCTACGTGGAAGAAATTCTGCAAAGTTGTCGAAGTATTTGGCTCTGGATCCTATTGGTTGCCATTCATAAGGTCGGGACCAACATAACACTGGCCAAGCCACAATGTCATCATGTTTCCCAGACAATCTCATTTCCAGAAGTTTGCGACGGAAAGCCAGAACCACGTCCTCTTTGCCTTCCCAATACTTCAGCTTCAATCTTTCCACCTCCCGAATCCAACCGCCCATGAGCACTATCACTTCTTTCTCTTCACAGATATCACCGCGAAGACGCTTCCACTTGTTATTGATTTCTTCCAAACTGAACTTGAGAATCAATTCCGCGATCAAGTCCGGAAGCACATCCCTGGATATGTGGTCCTTGAAGTACTTGTCCATCAATTCCATGAACTCCTTGTCCATTGACTAGATAAGCGTGTGACTCGGTGTGAGGCCACAACAATTACATGCCCTACGGCTACACGGACTCAAAGACAGACCATCTACGAATAATTAAATAGGACATTACTAATACCAGAATAGCGTATGGCATTACGCACCACAGAATGAGCAGCCCGATTCGCTTTTCGAGATGATGTGGTGTTCGAATGTGTTTTGAATCATAAATGCTCTAATTCAGGAGTGCATTACGGTTTGATTTCGATTAACCAGTAACTGATATGATGATTAGTAATTAAGCAATAAACAAAAACTCATATCGAGAAGTCTTATCAATTGATTGTCCTTTATCAGTTTAGTTAGCGGTTAGTTTGGCAGTTAATTAATAACCACTAACGCACATTTCAACAATTGTGATTATACCTAATCCGGCCAAATATCGAACCAATAGCTTAAATTTTCTTTCACGAAATATAATGAATCGAAGCCATAACGACTTGTAATACAAAATCATTATCAAATCGAGTTTAGCATGTATAATTTAACATCATTTTCAATCCACAAAGATAACAATGACCAAGAGTACTAAATATCAAAGATAAATAATCATACAAATAATTCAAAATATTTTAACTTCTTTACTACATTGCGACATATAATAATAATTTAAGAACTAATATCAATACAACATTCATCGAGAATTCATAATTTAATCCAAAACCCAATGCATAAAATAAAAAAAGAATCAAACTTATCCATCCAATTAGCGAGTACCAACCAACAAGACATCGAACACAAGCACCACAAGATCATCATCATTCACAAATATCAAAGAAAAAATATCAATAGGGTGCAAGGTTCGCTCTGTCGACTACAAATGGGAGTTAGAGAGGGATAACTTTTGGGTTTTCACTCTTAAACACATTTGAGAATCTTGATAAATGATTGTTTGCAATAGGTGGGAATTGAGGTGTTTGAAATTGCAACTTTGGTTGATTATTAATGTTGGAACTTTTTCCTTAGAAAAAAAAATCCAAAATTATGTGATTTTACCACTAAGCAAAATACTGTTAAGCAATTAGTCAGCTAGCACTTAACCACTAAGCAAGATACTGTTAAGCGAAACCAAACCAATAAGAAATTATCGATTATCAATAAACCAGTAACCACCTTATCGGTTCGGTATCGGATTTACAACCCCTACTTCTATTAGAAGTCTTACAACATCCATTTGATATATATTGGAGCATTTTTTTTTGTTTTTGTTACAGATCAATTTAATTCTTGGTAGTATGAAAATATTATCGTGTAGTAATCATTTTATATGCGAAAAATTTATCAAAGTGAAGTCGGACAACAATGATTTTTTTTAATACTACACATAATTATTCTAACTTAAAATTTTCTTTCTTCTCAAGTGCGATAGTGTTAAAGGTCACCTCATCCGATGACTCAAGGCAACCATTGTGGGCTATGGCGAGAGCCACGAGCATCATCTGTTTTCTCCAATACCTCACCAATATTACCATGAGTCTCTCCTTTGTTGCCTAAATTGCTCAAGTCATCCAAGTGACATTCTAAAAACACAGTCACCATAGATATGAGTCTTTTTTGGATTGGGACCATGTGAAATAACACATGTATAATCCTCTGAGAGCTCAATCTCACTGGCTGAGAGAGTGCTAACCGCAGAACTCGAGTTCACACCAGGACCAGGTAACTCATTTGTAGCCACGCTCCCTCCAACTAATACAGGAGGATTCAATTGGGCAGTAGTTAAGTTAGACAAACGAGAAGCTCCAGAACTGGGTTTGCACTTCTGGCCACTCGGAGATGACAGGTTTCAGTAAGACCTGCAAGAATCCAATGAACAAGACCTGACTTTTCCAAAGGGTGGTTCAGGATCATCTATGGCTACTCCGATTTCGAAAAGAACATCAGTGCTGCCCTTATGGAGGGAAGATCTGGTGTGGGTATTACGAGGAACTTTAGCAAAATTTCTTGGAAGTGACTTGGCTGCCTCGACAGCACTGTATGTATGACTATTAGAGTTTGATGCCTTGCTTCTCACCCCTGGGCCAAAAAGAATGTTCCTACTCACCGATGGACGAGGAACTTTGCCAGGGGTTTTGATAAGATCATCATCAAGAGAATCTACAATGCTTAAGCCGAGTCTGCTACGATCCCAACTCTTCTGATGGAATGACCTTGGGGAGCTTTAAGGTGGATTTCCTCCTACAGCTGGAAGCAGCTTGAAATCTAGAGGTGATGTTGGGCTCTTCACAGAGTCACAATCAGACATTCAGACAATACCTTAGGGGTAAATCCAACAAACAGTCTAGGAACACTGAACAATGAATTTTTCTTGTGGCTTTCAGACCGGCGATAGGATTCAGAACAGGAATCGGACTCTAAGCAGACCCATTTGTTGATCTTTGTGGACTGGTCTTGTTCTTTTCCTCAACATTACCACAAAGGGGAAACACGCAAAACCTCCTTTATTCTCTGCAACACAGAACCATCGGATTCTCAGTAAACAAACGAAGAAACAGACTTCAACCCTAATCAATATCAAGCAATAAGCTTTCCTGTTAAAAGAAGCAGTAATAAAACATGATCCGAGCTGTCCCGTGAAGATCTGATTTGACAAGCATTGAACTTGAAGGAACCCCTAAGAACAATAAAGGTACAAGCTTTATAGACTCTGAAGCTTCAATCTGTTCTAGATGACCGACAGTCACTCAATATGGTATAAAGCTAACTTTACCCAGATTAGGTGATCTCACAATATGCAAGACCCAGAAACCTAGAAGGAGAAGAAGATGAGCCAATAACACCACCCCGCAAAATGATGAAGAAAAAATCACTGAAACAACACAAACATCAAAGATTCTTTCTCTGAGACAATGCATCAAACACATAGCAGACCTAAAAGCACAAAAATGGGGAAGCAGATGAGAGCAGAATCACAGCGCAAAGAAAAAGGGCAAATCAATCAATCGCTCTCACACCCACCTAGTTTTTCTTCCTTCCTTTCTTCCCCACTGATGAATGAAAACTGAAGTGTTGGTTGGTAATGGGTTTTGGAGAAAAGTGGGGAGAGAGACGGAGCCCTCAAAAGCAGTAAAAAGGAAACAAAAGACAAAGCAGAAGGCTCAGAAATCATTTGCCAAGTTGAAATTCCACACCGTTCATCTAGAGACTGAAATACATCAAAAGGAAATGTTCAATAGCACCTCAGAAATCTACAATCAAACTCTGATAACTTCAAACACATTAAGAGCTGTAGCACAAGATAACATAAACTACGGAAGGTCCTGTGGCCCATTGGCAGAACAAATTCAGGGGGGTTCCTAATATCATGCGTCTCTAGCAGGGCCCTTCTTGGCAGCCTCAGCAGCTGCCTTCTCCGCTTCAATCTCAGCCACAATACCATCAATTTCAGACTCTTCAAGTTGTCGTAGGCCCTGGTCTTTCGTCATTACTGCGACTTCAATATTCTTTCCACCGCTCTCCACAACCTACACACAGAAACGAAAATTTCAGAATCTCGCAGGCTGATTCACAACACATGTAGCAGCTGTTTCCCTTTCAAATGAGTGACGAACTAATTCAGTTGGTTTCGACCAATGATCGTTCAGCAAGAAGCCTGGAACAATTTAGTTTACAATTGATGTCAAAAGCCACACATGACCAGCATCCTATGAACCAGTTTCATCAAACTTGATTTAATCGGTCAATCAATACTTTCTGTTGAATGTGCTAATACAATAAGGAATTCTATACGGTCTAGCAAAAAGAAGACAAGTTTGCAAGAAGTCCAAAGGAAGAAATGATGGAAGGAAACTGAACATTGACTCTGTGTTTCAACTTAAGATGAAATTCAGGAATGTTGTTGTTGCCAAACCTACATCAGATTATGTCTTCCAAAGCAAACTCACTATTCATAACCATTAAGGGAAAAGAAATGCTGGTAACCAAGGCTATCTTGCTATCATCGGACAGAAATCATGTTAAACCGTTGCATATACTATACAGAATTTGATCTTATTGGTTCTACAAACTATAATACAAACTGTTCCATATGCTATCCAGACATTGATCTTTGTTGGCTCAACAAACCATAATAAAGCACAATAGATTTTGCCAAAAATTATCCCCCCATCTCACTACATCCAATAGGACAAGATATGAGTACATACCTCCAGTAAGGCCCGGATTGCAAGCTTGATGGTTTCTTGACCAGAAGTTTCTTTATAATTCTTCTCCAGAAACTCTCTGATGGAGTTGGAGTTCCTCCCAGTTGCATTTGCTTTCCAAGCTGAAAAAGTGCCAGAAGGATCTGTCTGATAAAGTGAGGGCACCCCAGTGTATGGATCAAACCCTATGATCAAGGTCGAAAGCCCAAATGGCCTGACACCGCCGCTTTGCGTGTACTTTTGCTGAAGTCCAGCAATGTAACGGGTGATATACTCAACAGTGACAGGATCCTCCACTGTTAGCCTGTGGCTTTGACATTCAATTCTGGCCCTGTTGATTAGCACTCGAGCATCTGCCTTAAGGCCAGCACATGCCAAAGCAATATGATTATCGAGGTTGACGATCTTCCTCACTGATCTGCAAGATTGTAGCAGCGAAAAGATAAGAAAGAGCAAGCAATAAACGTTTCTGGAATGAAGCAAGATAACAATCGTTCATACGCAGCATTTCAGAAACCGGCAATTTCGTTTCCCCTTCATCGGCAACCTATTAAAGCAAACACAATACTACCATTGATTTCTATATCACTGACAGCTCAAATCTTATCAACAGCGAGTAACTGCTAGAGGCTACGAAAAACCCTAACATATTGCTACTAAAAAGGTGAAATTAGAGAAAAAAAGGGATCGGAAGAGGCAGAAGAAGGATAAAGAACCTGGAGTCCTGAAGCTTGGCGGCGGATTTCTTCTCGACGCCGAGGACGACGGTGTCGGTGCCACGGACGCCGACGGCCGCGTTTCCCTTGCGGACGGCCTCCAGTGCGTATTCGACCTGGAAGAGATGGCCATCGGGCGAAAAGACGGTGATAGCTCTATCGTATCTCGCCATTGCTCCTAGTAATAAGCCCTCCTAGCTGAACTCTTCTTCTTTTGCTAGATCAGCAGAATTTATCGGTTGATGATGGCGGCGCGGGGCTGGCGAGGGAGAGGAAGAAGATCTCGAACGCGGGTCTGGCGAGGAAAAAAAGATGATGGCGTCGCGGGGATGAGAGGAAGATGATGGGGTGGTGGTCTGGGCAGATGACGGCGGCGCTGGGCTGGCGATGGAGAAACGATGATGGCGGTAAAGATGATGGTGCGGGGCTGCTGGAGATGGAGATGGAGATGTCCGCCGATCAAGCGAGACTGCGAGAGATTTCTAGGGCTATGGTGGGTAAAACGGTGAGGCAAAACGACGTGTTTTGGACAGTGTTATCAAAACCCGGACCCGGGCAGTATTCCGGTTGGGGAAGGCTTAAAACGGATATTAAATATAGCCGGCCGGAACTCGAACGGCTCAACCGGCTACCTGGCAAAACCGTCAAACCCGAACCGGCGATTTTGAATTTGGATACATATTTACCTTTTCTAATAAAAATTTTAAAGCACTATAATATATTTCCAACATCACAGTGCATTGAGGTCATCCGACTATTGCTTTTGAGAATGAGAGTGCTTATTTAATTTTTTTTACCAAAAACGATAAAGTAATTTTGATTTTAAGTTAAGGCGATTATAGTAAAATTATTGTAGTAAAATTATTGTGTGATGCTTTTAGCGGTGGGGAAATATTATGTGTACACAAATACTCGTATAGACCTGTTTACTAATCCCAAAACAGATACATAACATTCATTTTCATACGAATATACATAGTTTTCTTTTCTTTTTTTATAGTAAAACATCGATTGTCACGATTGTCTTATTCATCAACCCATGACACCATACGTAGAGCAGCAAATTAAACAGATTAACTAAGGGTACATACTAAACCAGTGATCACGATCAACATAATAATCATGGTGCGTATATTTAATTAGTCCATATATCAGTAACACTCGTAGAGCTTAATGTCCATCTCCAAACGGAAGTAGTAGTCGCCTAGAAGAGCATCGGTGCGGAAGGTGGCGATCCCACGCGCCATGAAGAAATCCCCCGTGCCGCCGACCACGCTGAGGTCCCTGGTCGGCGAACTGATGGTGTCGGCGCCCATGACGTTGATGGTCCCCTGGTGCTCCGTCGAGTTGAACACCAGCGTGTACGCGAACCACGCGTTGAACGCGCTCTTCATGTCGTAGAAGTAGAACCCCTGCGCACGCGCCACCGGCGTCGACAGGAGGTGGGCGTCTTTCGTCATCGGGTCGTCGAACACGATCAGCTTCCCGAAGTTGGTACTGTTCCCGAGCTTGGTGGCGTTGGCGACCGTGGCGGAGGTGGCGTTGAAGGGCTCGTCGCCGCCGTGGAAGAGGAGGTCGTGGAAGTAGAGGACCAGCCGCTTGCATGGCTTGGCCGGATCATAGGCACCGTGGCCGTGGGAGGATGGCGGTAGTGAGGATGATATGATTATGATGAGAAGGGTTGTGACTGCGTGGAAGAGAAGTGAAGAAGAAGAAGAAGAAGAAGAAGAAGAAGAAGGCTTCATGGTAGTGTAGGTGTGTGAGAAATTATGAAAATGTGTATTGTTTCTGCGACTGTAAGTGACTGGGTACACCGTATATATATATATAGCTTATAATGGGATCAGAGGGTGGTGGTAGTTTAGGATGGGAACTTCTTATATTCAATCTTGGTTGGACGCGAAAGCTACATCTTATTAGTAAGTTCATCTTTCTTTTTTATATTTTAATTTTTGATTTATTTAGCATAATTAAGAATATTAAACATATTTAGGAAAAAGCGAATCGATAACAAACTAACATGTGGATGGTTGGAGTTTTTGCGTCCAACCAAGGTTGTAGCTAAGAACTTTCTGTTTTGAAATGTACAATATGGCTAAGTTATTGGGCTATACTTCGTTACAATATCCAAATTCAATCGTAAGAAGTTTTTATAACTTTTTAATTTTAATTATCATCATAAAAAAAGTGTTTAATATTAGGGGGCCATCAAAGACCTCAGACTTCAAGCCTATCGAGTAGTACATCAAAACCCACCATCGAAAGTCAAGATAGGGTGCAACTGCAAATTCATTAATTAATATATATAAACATAGAACCCGATTAGTGTTCACTAAGAATTTGTATTACCTCCCCTTATCATGTGGAGAGAGAGAGAGAAAGAAAGAAGACAAGCCACTGGCTGCTAAAGAAGAAAAAAACAGAATTATTATTGTGGTTTTATCATTTTGTAGGTTAATTATTATTTTGGTGTTTATAAATTATAATCTGATTCATGTTCACCAAGGATTTGTATTATGTCCCCTTATCATGTGGAGAGAGAGAAAGAAAGAAGAGAAGCCACCGGCGGCTAAAGAAAAAAAACTATTATTGTGTTATATCATTTTGTATGTTAATTATTATTTTGGTGTAATGTTGTATGTTATAATTTGTATGTTAATTGAGAATTAACATAATTTATATATGTATGTACAATATAATGGTTTTTCCCCATATATTCGGGTTAAATCAGGCTAAACTAGGCTAAAGCGATCGACCCATTAACCCTTAACTCACTAGCTTGACCGAGTCAACAGGCTAAATCAAGTTGACAACCTTGATCTAAAGTATCATTGTGTGAAAAATATAATTTATGATGAGTAAAAATAGGAGAAATATAATTAAGTATAGAGACAAATCAAGGTAAAGTAGGTCAAGAACAGGCGGGACAAGGCGACGCATGATGAAAGTAGTACACATGTCTCGTTCCACGCTAATAGGTACCCCAACACGGATCAGGTAGGGTAATACCCGATGTGAAGGATTCAAATTTCTATCACTACTACCAATTTTATTATAGCCTCAAGAATTTGTTGTGATTGTTTTAACACTTTAACATCATCGGTATATATTTTGACATATACAACCAACATCCTGTGATAGTGATAATTTTTGAAATATCAATAAAATACGAAGATTATTATTAATTGGAAATAAAATATCTCTGACGAAATTAGAGGTAGCCTGAAAGATTTGAGAAATTGAGATAGAAGAGGACAAAATAAATATTGGATTTAGATCGAGATAGGTGTGATCCAAATAAGTAAACACTTGTTTATTTATATCATCTCAAATATAGAGTGATGTTTCTTGGTAGAAATTTTGACATAATATTCACCCACAAAAATATTTTTTTTCCAGCATATCAAATAATATTCACATGCATCCTTTATTACATAAATCCATTAACCACTAACCAATATTTTCACGAAATCTCATCAATTCGATCAACTGGTTCGGTTCCACAACTCCACCAACCATACTTTATGAGGTGTTTCCTATTTTATTAAATATCATTCTCGATAAATGAACTTATTTTTCCTATTTTTCAAACTAATTTACCACTGAAAACACAAATTTTCACATGTTAACTCCATAAAACCAAATCAACTAGCATGCAAAATCAAATACTGAAATGAACGAGTCAAATAGTCGCAACAAAGTTCATCTAGTTGTCATATATATAAACGCTCCTTAATTCAACAAGCAAAGGATCCCTCGTCTAGCTTCACATTTTCTGTATCTCTACAATTCTTTGTATATATGTTTTACACCATCTTTTGTATCATAGTGACTTGAACGTTGAATTATACATTAGCAATAGTTGTAGCTTCTTCACAAGTTCCTTCCACTTCAAAGAGATCATCGTGTAAACGGAGTCCGAATCAAAACCAATTCGCAATATTATGATTCTTCTTCCGTAAAGTTAACAATTAGTAACTTTTTTATGTCTTATTGTCAATTGAAAAAAGAAAACGAGGGTCGTTTGGAGGTTGAGATTTGAAGTGAGGTATTTAGCAAATACATGTAATGATAAGATTAAGTCGTTTTTTTTTTTTCTCTTTGAGGTAGAATGCATGCATTACCTTTTTGTTGGGCCCACCTACAATCACTCAAAATGAATGATTATAAATCTCTACTAAAAGGTGATATTGTTAATGAGGGATTGTCTACCCTACTTTTTGTTTTATCATTGCCCTTCCAAACAAAGTATTTTTCTAATACATGCATTGAATTAATACATCAAATGATAATACACTAATTGACCTAATACATCAATTTGAACAATCACAACTTCCAAACGACCCCGAAGTTATGGGTTGGGTATCTAAAAATGATATGGACTTTAGTTCGTAGCGAATATTTAGGGTTGATACTATTTTGTGCGCCGGGGAAGCATAATTAGTTGGCCGTCGTTCTTGCTAGCTAGCTAGCAAGGTAATAGACGATATCGGGGTTGGTGTAATCATGTTGTGAAGTGGACGTGGCCGTCTCTAAATTACAATTAAAATGAGGCTTTATAGCTCAGTTTTGCTGTTTAATTCTGAGATCTGGCCGGCTACATAATAAAGACAGAAAGAAGAAGAAGAGAGGATACAGTTCTGTATTTCTTCTTTGGTGGAGGTATCACAATTTTGAGATCCGGCCGGCTGCATAATAAGGACATAAGTAAAAATAGGCATGCCCTATAACGTCGTAAAAAGGATCTATCATGTAATTTGAAATGGAGCTACTTCAAACAAAGACAAAGTTTATAATTAATTACACTATGTAAATTTGGTGTATTTTTTAAAATGGAGAACATACACGAAACTAAAATTTGAAAAATCACAGGACTTTTTCAATGGTTATCTAGCCCCACTAAATCTCCCAGAAGTACTTAATTGGTGTTTTGATAATTCGATTTTGATATTTTGATTATTTTAATTATAGTTTAATAAGTAATTTAAAATTTTATCTATCTTATAGAATAATGATAGTTCGAACATTGCATATCGAATTGCAATATTAAATGTTCGAAATGATGTAGAATTCGTAAATTAGTATTAATTTTCAGGATTACTATGAAGCAATCATATCTTTGTGCAAACTATATGCTACTGGTTCTTTAAACGGTTTAGCCCGGCTAACAGCTAAGTTTTGAATCTCAACCTAATCCGATATGATTGGATCCGACAATCATTAGACGAGATTGATTTTAATTTATTGGTTTCGCCATTTTTATATGTTAATGAATTGTAGAGCATATAGAAAATTTTGGGTGACCCGCAACCCACCTGAATAAATACATATAGAGAATTTTATATTCACGATCCACCCGCATCAATCACTCACCCACTGCGGTTTGAATTATTTGTGAGTGGGTCGATATCAAATCGCATATTAATCACCCACATGCCTATCCCTAGTTTGTATGACTAGAATTGTTTAAATGAATTTTAGCCATGGATGAACCTGTGCTTAAATAGCTAGGTTAGTAATAACTTATTGAGTGGCACCTCACCTCGCCGATATATTTTCTTTAAGAGCCAACGCAAAAATGGTAGACTCGGTGGACTAGCGAGGTTAGTCGGATGGCTGAAAGGTATGCAATGGAACTAAACTTTCATGTTTTCACTTTTGAACTTGAACGAAATGATTTCACACTTTTAAGTCTGTGTAATCCCTTAATGTTCAGCCACTTAATGTCAGAGATATGTATGTTTTGAAGTTAGACTTTGCACCGTCTTGTGTTTCACATTTGATGCATCGTAAAAAATTGTTTTGGGTTTTTCTTGACTTATCGATATAGTATGTACACATGTTTTATGTTCAGCTACGAATGTTAAGTGAAAAAAAAAGCTAAGTGGAACAACATGATGATGTTTCTTAAGCATGGGGAAAAGTCATAAAGTGTTACATTTTGGAAGAGTCACAGGGTGTGACAATGTCAATATCAAAGTTATACCAGATGATTTTTTTTAAAAGAGAAATTCAACAATTCGAATATTAAAATGGGAGCTAATAGGGTACAAAACAATTATCTTCTAAACCCTGTCGTATCATTTTGATACGATGATATACGTATATATCGTCATATCATATATCGTCATATCACGATGATACGGCTAGATTTTGCAGACCAGGGTTTTATACCCGAGCCTGGACATTTTTAAATAGTTTAGAACCTAGAAATTTAGACTCTAGTTTTGCAAAGATCCTTTTAAGTACATTTGACTCTGCTAATCTCAAACACTTAACTCGATCACAACTTCAATCTCTAACCTTAGAAATTAACCACTTCCGACCAGGATTTTAATGATTGCTACTTACTACAGACTAAGGAAAAACAACGGATCAGTAAGTGGAGGAAAAGCCTACAAGAAGAACAACAGGATTTTAATGGTTACAAACTATTAGTCGTCGTCAATTACCTTCCATTGTCCATCCATTAAAATCTAGGGGGAAAAACAACTTCACCAATCACCATGGTTCAAGCTACCGAATCTCCTAATTACATGATTCCCTACACTCTAAGTTGCAAATGAGACATCCTCAGTTAGAGTCCGGCGAGCTTTTGTTCTTCTCCTGCAACCCTTCTTCCAACTGCGAAACAGCCGCCTCTTCCGAAGTGGCCAGGTTGTTATTACCATCACTATACTGTTGAATCACCAACACAGATGCTGTTACAGTAGAATCAGAAGTCAACAGCCCACCAATCGGCCCCAATTCCTCGCATTCGTTATGGCGATCCAGCAACAACCCAATGCCTCCTTCAGGAGTAGCACCAACCAAGAACAGGTTGCACTGCTTCACTTCCTGAATCGCATCCAGAGTCTCGGTCGCATTCCTCACAACTTTCTCATCGTACTTCACAGATATGTCCTTTGACGCCGTCTGCTTCAGTTCAGAGATCATCTCCTCATCCATGGACAGAGATTTCATGCAGCTGGAATGAACGGCCATATGGAAGCTGACTATCTCCCCTCCTGCAGCTTCAGGGTTGACCACAAACCGAATCACCTCCACGCTAATCCCAGGATGTTCAGCCATTCTGAGTCCATATGTCAAGGCCTCACGATCATCTCGACCACCAAAGAAGATGACCCTAATGAGATACGAAACGTTGCTCCCCGAGACATGGGTTGAACCACCGAGTCCTCGATCAACCAGGATTCCAACCGAGCATGGGGAATGGGTCAGAACCTTTCTGCTGACCAATCGTAGCTCCGGTCGTGAAGTTTCGAGTGAGCCGTCAAATCTATAATGCCTGTGGAATGGAAGGATGATCAATGCAGCTCGCTTTCTCTCAGCAGTTGTGCAGATATCTTCATGCATATCCATCATTGAAGAGATTGCAGTCATTGGCCTAACCGATACGTGACTGAGCTGCTTGAAAGCTTCGAAGGCCACGACAACTTGGTCAGAATCTGCCCGAGGGCCCTTGTTCCAGAAGGGAAGCCCATTCTTCCTGGCCTTGTGAACCATTAGGATGGAAGAGGATCTCTCCGAGAGTTCCATGAGATGCAATGCATACACAGAGAGGTTCTCGACCTTCTGAACTCCTCTAGAAGCTTCAAGAAGGTTAATCATCGATGGTATGTTTCTTGTAGAATGGAAACAGGCCAGAATTCGGAGCTGTGTGGCAGTGTTCTTCCGCTCAATGGTTCTGTACTTGTAGTCTGGCCTTCGTGATTTTCTTGCTGGCTTGTATACAGCCAACACCAGTGGTGTGGTGATGAAGGTTGTGAAAAGAGCCATCAGAACCATAATGGCAAACGTCTGATCATTCAGAACCTGAAATAAGAAACAAACAAAAGCAGTACTATTAGATACATAACATGAGAATCTATCTTAATTATCAAGAACCTGTAAAACTCTCTCAAATAATGCTTACCTTCCTATCTTTGCCAATATTGAGGACGATAAGCTCCACCAAACCCTTTGTATTCATAAGGAACCCGAGAGCAAGCGACTCACGAACAGGCAATTTACACAGAAGAGAAACCAAGAAGGTGCCAACAATCTTCCCAAAACACGCTGTGCAAATAACCAAGCCAAGAAGACCCCAAGATTGGAGACCTTCGATCGTCGCTACATTGGTTTTGAGCCCACTTGACACAAAGAACAAAGGCAAGAAAAGGCCGGAGACAAGGTCTTCAACTTTCTCAACTAGAGCTCCAGCCAAAGGCCCTTCCTTAGGGATTACAACTCCAATAACAAAAGCACCAAACATGGCATGAATCCCAATAGCATCAGTCACAAACCCAGCAGCAAGAACAGCAGCTAGTGTACCGCATACATAGGTTTCTTGGACAGGCTCACCTTCATGGCACCTTCGAGCCATCCACTTAAAGATCGGGCGAACGATCAGTATGGCGAGAATGACAAATCCACAGCCTGAAAGCAGAACCCAAAGTGCTATAAGGGGGGATTTGCCAGAGCCAGATACTGCTATGGCAAGAGCAAGAAGAACCCATGCCACCACATCATTAACCGCTGCAGCCGACATTGCCATTCTGCCAATGTCAGTGGTCAAGAGCTTCAACTCGGCCAGAATACGAGCCAGGACAGGGAATGCTGTGATGGAAAGCGCCACTCCCATGTAGACAAGGAATGCAGTGTCGTTTACACCTTTGGATATGGTTGCTCGGAGGACAAGCGAGGAACCGATTCCCATTAAGAATGGGAGACTGATTCCTGCAACAGCAAGAGCTAGAGCCTTCTTCGCAGTTCGACGGAGTGCTTTAGGATCTATCTCTAAGCCGGATAGAAACAGGAAGTAGAGAAGACCAATGTTTGCCAGAGTATCCAAAACCGGGACACTCTTAGGTGGGAATACCGTGTGCAAGTAGGTCTTGTTCCGACCCAGAGCAGAAGGCCCAAGCAGAATTCCTCCCTGCAAAGTGAGAAAGCCACTGAGTGAGCTTGAAAAGGAAACCAACTTTCTGGTGAGGTAGAGATGCAAGCATCAACTTGCACAACTTCATCAGGTATCGACATATCAGATCATATAAATATATGCTGCAGTTCCACAGAATCTGCTTGACATAAACATCCACCATATCAGAGTTCCATGCCGATCGAAAATGACAAAAGCAACAGCAACAGTGTTCCGTTTAACCAAAATTTTCAGCTGCTTCTAAACATGACCAAAGACCAACTATTTGCATAGAGCACAGGTGCATGCCAAGGCTATGCCAGCAACACAGTTGACTTCTGCATAACAGAATTTAAAACAGAAATGGAGGCAATTTTCACTGAGAAACTTAGCACAGAAGGAAGTACATTGAGAGAGGAAACCTACCACTATCTCTGCAATCACACGGGGCTGTCTCAATGGTCTCAAGAGGAAAGCAAGACCCCTTGTGAGGGCAACCACGAGACAGATCTGGAGAATCACTAGAGGAAGAGCGAATTCCAATGGGCTATCCCCTTGGAAGAACCCATTCGATGTAGCCACCATGGGCTGAGGACAAGTAACATTTGCAGTAACCATCTCGGCTTTCAATAGCACAGTGTCACATTCACACTACCTGCAGAAAAAAACAAAAAGAAGCTCCAGATCATCAGATTCGAGGAATCAGAAAAATCTGTCATACCCCAATCATTTCCCAGGATCAAAACCGGAAACTCCTAATAATCCTGAAAATCATCCAAACCCAGTTGAAATCTCGTGAAATTAACCCTTACCCACTGGAACCATCATCCACCCTGATACTACCCAGTTCAATTTAACTGGATAATCGGAGAAGTTACGATCAAGACAGAATCTTTGAATGAAGAAATCAAGAAAGCACAATGAGGGATTCGTCTCGGTAGTTACTACAACAAACCGAGGGCGATTTGCATACCTGCAGTTGAAATCCTTCGGATTGTGGGAAAATCGAGAGTTGGGAGCGAGCAGAGAAGAATGCGGCTACTGGGGCCTGGGAAGAAAACAGAGTCGGAACAATCTGAGCGCTACAAGGGATTATCTCAAGGAGCGAGTCATTCGTTAGTTTCGGTTTACGCGCTCATGCAACGCAGATTTCGTGGAGAAGAGCTAGCTGGGGAATGCTCTCGCCGCTCCGCCGACTCCGCCGACTCATCAACTCTCTTCTTCAGCCTTCATATATTGGGTTTGATTTTTGCACGTAGAGTTCTACTTCGACTTGGACTCCTGATGGGAGAATTACATCTTTAGTCACTCAAGTTTTCTGTTGACTTTTATTTGTTTTGCAATTACTTCAATGAGTCAGAATTACTTTTCCAAAACATTATCGTAAACTGTGATTTACTCCACATTACTACTAGGCCTGCCTTGATTGAGGAAGTAGTTGGCCCAGTGGAACCATAATTAAGCACTAACCATGGAAATGCTATAATATATTGATTGGTGTATATTAATTGCTAGCATAATTATGATGATTGCATGTTTCACCCTAAAGAATTTAAATTAAGTATTATATCTACTTTTCAGATAAATATTTCGAACGTGCCCTTATTACTAGGGTGGAAATTGGTACGATATCGGTATCTCAATATCAAATACAAAAATTTTGAATATCGAATTACACCCTAAAATCAATTCTAATCTCAATCTCTAAATAATTTTCGGTATCCCAATCTCAATCCCTAAATATTTTGGTATCCCAATCGGTACTTTGGTATCCAATCGGTATTGTCGAATACGAAATTAATTATCTTTACAATTAATAATTAAATATATAAATTAGATTTTATTTAATTTAGGGCAAAGAGAATAAGCAAAGAGTCTTGAGTTTGTCTAGAGCTAGGATATGGATAAGGAGAATGGAGGAGAGGTGACATCTCAAATTCTTGTCATTGATAATCTTTAATTTGACGAATTGGAGGTTGAGAGACAACTAATACTAGTGTTTGCATTTTGGTTTTATGAAAATTACAAGAGATTAGATGAGAGACGAGAGTGACTTAAATTGGAAAGTCAAAATTGAGTTGCATGGGGACTTCTAAGTTGTAAAATAGTGATGTAATGATCTACGTATAATTAAATGAAACTCTTGGTGGTTGAGGGTCGTGTAGTAGTGAATAAGAGAGTCTAGTTGAGAGGATAAAATACACACTACCTTATATTTTGGTATTGATCGGTATTTCAGTATATACTGATCCCAATCCCGTAATCCCTAATACCGAATAACAATTGAAATTCAATCCCAATCTCAATCCAAAAAAATAATACGTGTATTCGATAATACCAAATATAGACAAATTTAGTATGGTATTCGGTATATCCCAAATACCGACACTAAACTTCCAACCCTACTTATTACACATCATGACAAGCCGCTATATAATGCTCTGTTTTTCATTTTATTGTAATGCTGATGTTGAATGATAAGGTTTAAGAAATTACTTGATATTTTTTGTTAATTAATTACTTAATGTTTCAGATAATAAATTTTGTAAACTAAATTCTAAATGGCATATATATATAATTTAATTTTTGAAAATATGGTTATGCAGACATTGATAGTCGTCATTTCTGTGTTATCTCTCTAGTGAACATCGTTAGGGTTGTGTGCCTGACTAAATTGTTCCTATGGGTTTGCAAAGTATTATTGGAGGCTGAGGTTTGCCATCTTTAACGAATTTCCTTATAAGAGAAAGATAGTAACGACATAAATTTGATGACATTGAAGAAAAAATAAATAAGTGACTGTTTGAGCCTAGATACCCCCGAACACTTATCCTTCACCTTTCCACTCTTCCGTCGCCTGGGCGCCTGGAACCTACACCCACAAGCGCCTAAGGGCCTTTGTCGACCCGTTAGCACTCCGAAGCTCAAGTCAGTGCTCCTTTCTAGAGAGATAAGTATTTGGAAGTGGTTTAGTGAGAGAAGCCAACCTGCGTAAATGCTATCGTCTGCCCCTATTTATACTCACCGAACCCGAGGTTGATCTCCGCCACGTCACTTCCCTCATTCAATGCTCTGCGCCCCTAGACAGCTAACCGCCCTGACAGATTCCTGACACCTGACTGGCCTTCCACAGCCCTGCCAGGCTCCTGACACACGACAGGCGCCCGCAGGCCGTGGTCCTCCATCCAGTTGATCGCCACCTGGCTTTTGATGCTCTATGTGACAGCTAACCGCCCTGTCAGGCTCCTGACACCTGACAGGCGCCCCTGGCCGTGGTCCACCAGCCGGTTGGCCGCCACCTGGCTCTTGGTACTTTATTCTTTTGGGCTTTGTCCCCTAGCTCGCTAGGTAATACCCCCAACAATTGCCCCCCCAGTTAGGTGCTCGTGGCTTCGCCAACGAGCGCCTGACTGAACCTCTAGTCGTAGCCCAGCCTTCTGCTTAGTTGCAGGGCGCCTGTCACTCGGCGCCTGCATCGTGCTCTCATTTGTTTCTTGGTCCTACAAGGTGCGTTTGCCTTTCTTCCTCCGCGATCAGGCGTCCCGCCTTCGTCTGCGTCCCTTATCGAATATTCTTCTAGGTGCTTCTGTGCCTCTTGCCTGCAAAGGCGCCTTTACCCAATCGGGGCGCCTTTTTGATTAGCCCTCCTTTTCGGGCGCTTCATGGTGTCATTCTTGACGAGTGTCCTCATCCCTTGTGCCCCCCTCACCCACACTGTGCTTGTGGGGAAATTTGGATAAAAGAAAATTTTGAAATTCGAAATTCGAAATTCGAAATTTGGGAGTTGAGAAATTTCCCCGAAAAGGAGAGTGTGGGGGAAGCTCAAAGGTCCGCCTGTGTTTTGGTGACGCGCGAAAAGACCAAAAGGTGGGGAGAGCTGAAGGGTTTCCTTCGGCATGACTGACACGTGTCATGCGATGGGTGAGCCTTCGTTTCTCTTTAAATACCCCCCCCCCCCTTTGTGATGCTGTCACTTTCTTCTATTTGTCATCTCTCTAGAATCTCGCTCTGACTTCTCTCTAGAATCTTCCGCTCTGACCTCTGTCCTCTTTCCTCTTTGTTTTTCTCGGCCAACACTTCATTCTCGTCCAAAAAATGTCGTCTCCACAACAAGACAAGACTTCTGCACCCGGCGCCTCGGGCGCAGGCGCCTCCGGCGACGGTGGTGAAGCAAGGCGCCCAGTTCAACGTGGTAAGCAGTCTTTTCCTTTCGTCGATTTCGTTGAGTTCTTTTTCTCTAGCCACTTAGGGTAGGGGCGTCACTTACCCCTTGTCCGCGTTGCGTCTGGGTCATTTGTTGGTTTAGAGCGGGCGTCTGCTTCCTCGTCAGCGGGGCCGTCAAGTTCGTCGGCGCCTGGCTTCTTGCCCGCCGACGGGTCATACAAGATCACGACGTGGGAGAAGTGCTTCCCACCTGATCATTTGCCCACCGAGACGTCGCACTTGTCTTTCGAGGTGGCTGGGCCCAACCACACGTCGACCATCACCCTGGACCAGGTTCATGAACTGGTGACTAGTCTCCAGCTTCCCAGAGACTGGTGGTATGCGCCTCCATCGCCCCTGTCCCGGGTGGGCGTCTGTGGCCCCAAGTGGATCGGGCTCTACCAGGAGTACTTTCGCTTCGGGCTTCAGTTTCCCCTGGACTCGATCATGGAAGGAATTTTGACGACATGCGCCTGTCCTCTCGGGCGCCTATCCCCTTCGGTCATCACGGTTGTCATCCTCTTCAAGTTGAGGTGCCGAGAGCACAACGTGGAGCCCACCTTCAACTTGTTTCGATACTTCTTCAAGATGGTGGCTCTGGACAACTGCTTATCCCTCCAGAAGCGCAAGAAGAAAAGCTGCCCCCATCACTTCGTCCAGAAATGCCCTAAGTTGAACCGAAGTTGGTTCAACGGGTTCTTCTTCGTGAAGGCATATCAAGACTCCTTCTTTGCCAGTGGGGGCGCCTTTATGAGGAAATGGGGGCTAGGCCATGTTGACGACTTCAATAAGCCGGTGGTTTTGACGGCGTCTGAGCAAGCTGGCGCCTCCTTAATTTGCGAGGGGGAGCCTGTTGACTTACGCCCCGCCGAGAATCGTCCTCCCATTATTGAAGCTTATTACAACAATGGTGTGTAGGCGTCTAGGTGTTCTGCTTCCTTATCCGTTTGTTTGCGTTATGTACTAACTTACTTTTGTCATATGCAGGGGCGGACTACTCGAGCATTGCCAAGCTCATGAAGAGCAGGCTGGCGGCAATGGCTGCGGAGGCGGCTGCTGCAGCATCTTCCCCGAAAGAGGCGCCGGCTCGGCCAGAGGCGTCTCTTCAACCGGAGGCACCTGCAACCCAATCACAGGCGCCTTCTGCCGTCCCCAAGAAGAGGAAAGTGAAGAAGAGGGCGGTGAAGGGTGGAACCGCTCAAGCGCACACGGCAAGTGTGGCGTCGTCCGCCCCGGAAGAAGGCGAGGGGACACCTGATGCCGACCCCGCAGAGAGGGAGGTTAACTCCGCTGAAGAGGAGGAAGAAGAGGAGCCTTTGCTCCGAAAGGGGAAGAGGGCGGGCTCCCCCCTAACCTCGGCCAGCAAGAGAGCTGCCCGAGGAAAGAAGAAGGTGGGCGAAGAGGACGCCTGCGAGGAGGACGCCTTCGACGAGGTGGAAGTGGAGGCGGAGACTGTGGAGGACGCCCGCATTCACTTGAATGAGGAGGGGCGCTACGTTGGCCCCGATGGGCGCCCCCCCATCTTCCGGCCACGGCGCACCGAGGTGGGACGGGTCAATATGAACTGCTCCCCTTTGGTCGCCGTGGACCGAGGGTGCGCCATGGGCTTGGCAATCGCGGCCGCCAAGTCCTGGCAAATACCGTCCGAGGTGACTAGTGATCACCACTTTGCTGAACTTGCCCAAGTGGGCGCTAAGGTATGCCACTTTGTACTTGTATTTTCAGATCCTTCTTTCTTATTACTTTGCACCACTTTCTGACTCTTTTCCAATGTTTGCAGATCCTTCTTTTTGCTGAAAGGGGCGCCCGACGCCTCAATGAGACTAAAAGGGAGGCGCTCGAGGCTTCCTCTTCGGCTGCTCAGCTGAAGTTGGATTTAGATAACGCAACTGCACGCCGCGAGCAGTTTGCGAAAGAGTGTGAAGATGCCCAGATGACGGCGACCATGGAGTTGTCGCGTCTGCAAGGCGCCTTGGACGAGGAGCGCAATAAACTGGCCACCCTGCAGG